TTTATAGTTAACCTCGAGTTAGGACCTTCAGTTAACTTTAACCTCGCGTTAAATATGAAAAAAATATCATCTGATGGCTTATAAAAAAACTTAGATAGGAACTTAGATTGCCATTTTTCAAATGTCAATATTTTAGAAATGGTTACAGATAGACATAAGTTCTGTTGTCACATATTCGCTAATCCTCTTTCTAAAGCAAGAGCAAAAATCTTACTAGAACCTTAAACTAACCTTTAAATCTCCAAAATTTCAAAAAACTCAATTTTATCAAATAACAAAACAGGAAACATAGTTTTTCTTATATTAAGTCTATGATTTCATCCAAGCTTCACCATGATCCAAGATGCAAAAATATACAGTGTTCCATTGAAAAAAGGTGTAAAACCCGATATACTTATTTGTTTTAGTTGGTGGAAAATTCCAGAGAAAAATTTGAAGAGAGTTAAACATGAAACTTCAACTTACAAAACTTTCTTTTTAATCTCTTAGCTTTATTTTTTAAATTACTACCTGAGGAGTTCCTTTATGCGTCCGACTACATCTCGTATCTGTATTTTTTTGGGGTAAAACTAAAATCTGAAACAGGTTTTGCCGTGTTTGGAGCCCCCAAAGTTCGATTTGAACGCCGCCACGTCATCGATAAACCAGCAGAATTGTCTAAAATGCATTCTCTAATATAGTTACTATACATGACTGAAAAAATATGAAAAAATCACAGCTGCGGTTCTGTCGGTTTATCAATAATTTTCGAAAATGTCCCACTCTTAGCGTATATCGGTTTGTATTTTACTATTATTTAATATTTTTTTTAGTTTGTCAGTCCATTATTTCCTCATTTTTTTTTCTCTAAAACAGATAATAATAATTCTATTTCCGTAAATAAACTCTAAAAATAAAAATTGCACTATAATACATATAAAACTGTATAGATTGATTTTGTAAAAAGGATACAAATCGAAATAAATAAATTATCATCCGAATAAATAACGTATCCGACATTGGAATGTCAAATATACAAGAACATTTTATATACAGGGTCGCTGATGTGTATAGAAACGGTCGATTATTATTAGGTAAAATATACGAGGTATCGCAAAAAGTTAAACATAAAAGTTATAGGGTTTTTGAATGTCTATTAGCGAGTAACAAATTTAAGTATATAAAGTCGTGACACATCAAACTTTATTTTTTGTTTAAATGGAACCCCCTGTTACATATTTCAATTCTTCCTTCAATTCTAAGCAAAAATCGAGATACACACAATGTGCCTCAAACCAACCGTTTCCGAGTTATTGACTTTTGAAAATATCACTTAAACAATTTGATTTAATTTAATTTCGATGTGTTCAGTTTCATTTAACGATGCCATTCTGCGGAAACTGTATAGTTTTCAAGTTAGCAATTATAGATGTATAAAATGAGGTTATATCAAGTCTGGAAATTAAAAAAATTTCGTTTAACATTTCAAAATCAAAACGTCATAATTCGGAAATGGTTGAATTTAGGTACATAGAAGAATTGAAATATGCAATAATATAGGGGGTTGCATTTAAAAAAAATAAATTTCGATATGCCGCAACTTTATTACCGACCCTGTATACTCAAATTTACTACTAGCTAATAGACATTTAAAAACCCTATAACTTTTGTATTTAACTTTTTGCGGCACCTTGTATATTTTACCTAATAATCGACCGTTTCCACACACAACAGCGACCCTGTATACTGTATACATACCCTCACATATAAGGCCAACATCAAAAGTATATAACTAGATATCTAAAAAGTACCCTTCTAACGTCTTCTTTTTGTTGGTAACGGTAATCTGGACGGGGCCTACTTTGTTTACGCGGATTCCGAACCGCGGTCCTCAGCCATATCATTGTCAATGGCCTACCAACTTGGCGAGTGTCTAAATCAACTCTTACTCACGAGATATCATCCGATCTCATCCGGCCTTGAACCGGCGTGAATGAGCAGTGTGTGTCAATAGATTTTACACCGGTGTTTTTACACCGAGAACCGGTGTTTCCACGTACCTGGGCCCTTTTCCTAGTTAGATATCTAATAGTAAAAGAGTATATCTCAGATTTTATCTAATAGTTTATAAAAAACATTTTTGACATAATCCTTATATGTAAGAATATATTAATACAACATACAACACCAAAACTGGAATTTACCTCAACACAACATAAAATAAAAACAATTTCTTTATCGATATAAAGTTCACACAAATTAATGTAATACAATGAAAAATATAAAGTTTGTATGCTGTACATTGTATATGTGTTACAGTAAAAGTTGAAAATCAGTGATTGTTAACAATTACTAGAAAAAGCTCACATTCACTGATTTCATAAGATTACGCCAGTAAAAGTTCAACATCTATTTTCGAAACCAACTTTTACTAGTGAATGCTAGCATTTCCTGAACGATAGCAGTGAGTTTGAAAGATTCAGTTATCGCGGTTGCCACATGTTATAAAGTATAAGAATAAATAAGGATAAGTTTAATGATAGGCAATAAAGGATAACATTAAATTGGGCCAAACGTTGGCAACGTTGACAGACAGGCGTAAATTCGCTTTGTTTTTTTTGTGGTTTATGTATAATTGTTTTGTTATCATTGTAAAAAGTGCTGTGTGGTATTTTCCCTATGAATATGTGCTATTCCTTATTAAGGTAAATTGGGCACTCGCAAAAATATAATAGTTCTTGTTTTTCATTTTTCAATATAAATGAAGTTATAGCAAAAGTTAAGCATGCAAGAGAAAAAGATATTAAGGAACCTAGTGACTATGAACTTATTAAACGTTTTGATATGCTTGAAGTAGCGGGTTTGAAAAAACGAATAACTCCCGTTGAAGAAAACCTTGTACCAATAAGTAATCTTATATTTATGAATATTTTTTTTTTTAATTATATTGTACACTTTAAAATGTTTACTATGTTTCCCATTTAATATTTAGAAGGTTATAATATGTCGTTATTTTCTATAATTTTTAATAAATATACTAAAGAAATAAAGTGTAATATTAAGATATGTAGATCAGCTTAAATACTGAGGTGATCCGATATTCTTAAAAGTTTCATTTGTTCTAACTTCCACCAACATCTCCTCACCACACTCTCCATGTACAATAGAATAACTTTTACTGGCAACTTTTAATAAATGTTACTTTCACTATAGTGAATGTTAGAAATTACTAGGAAAAGTCGACAAATCTTTTTAAATTACCACATTCACTGGTCCAATGCGTAATTGCTAGCATTTCCTAGGAATGTTAACAATCTCACTGAATTTCCGACTTTCACTGTAACATATGTACCAATTGATTCCGAATTTGTATTTTTACAAACGAACAAAATAAATTGAAATAAATAAGAACTATACAATTTGTTTATCCCTCCAATAGGAGGAGAATAAATTATTAACATAAATATAAATAAAGACAAACGAACCTTCGAACGACAAAAAAAACAACAAAAGAAAAACACCTGTCGAATGATTTTTGGAAGTGTTTTACTAATATTGTATAGATGTTAAGTATTAGGAAGAGTTTATTTGATTTAACTTGTGAGCAGTTTCGCGCATATGTGTAGTATAAGTGTACAACTACCTATGTAGATCTTCATCAAAAAATAAAATACTAAATTTACCTAAACTATGCCGTCCCGCTCTGTCGGGACGGCTTGGGAAGATCGATCAAAACACCGTAAATTTTCCGTTCTATCGTTATCAGCCGCACAAATGTTTACGCGCACATAGTTTACCAAATTACCAGCGTAGAAATTAAGAAAAAAAAACAACAAATAGAAGAATTAAAAAAAAACATATACTCAAAATTATCACCTAATATTATTTGGTCGCTTTGGGAAGCCACAATTTTATTATACAACTTAACGCAATCTCCATTACTATAGTCAAATGGTAGTTCTTCGAAATGGACCGTTCAATCACCGTGGACTAGTCAGCACCATGGAAACTAACATTCTTATGGCCTCTACTTGAAAAGAAAGGTCTAAACCTAAAAAACTAACCTAATTTCACTTTTAATAGTGTCTTATTCAATTTAATAAAAATTATGTGACCAAAAGTTATACTTTGAATTGATATTTCACAGACATTTATCATAATTTAACTCAACATAAAAAAATTCAGTCTTTTCAAAATTACAGATACCCTAATACTACTTACCTCTCTGCTAACTTTACCCTAAACTGCATAACATAATCGCAGATTATACCAAGAACAAACAAAATATACAAATACTTTTTATATAAAATATAATAGTCCTAACTTTTGATATTTCAAAAATATAATTTGATTTTTCTAAGCGCAGATACACTCAGTAGCAACTAGCGATGTTAGATACTGAAATTACATTGTAAAATATGTATTTTCAAAGTCTTCTGGACTGATTTGAGACTTTAAAATCTTGTTTGTCCAGACTTTGCCGACAAGGGCAGTGTCAAAATTACCTCCAAAACTAGTCTCAAACCAGGCCATTTGACTTTGGAAATACTTTACCAACGTTAATTTAATGACAACTTTATGATTTTTTTTCATTTCCAGTTTTTTTATTTCACCAGTTGATACTGGATATACATACTACTAAAAACGTTGAGTTTGTTCCCAAGTACAATCTGTGACATCAGCAAATCTTAAAAACCTACCAATACTCGCGAAGATACAGATTCTTCAATACCAGTCCATAAATGAATTTTAAAAACATTTAAATAATATAAAATTTAGTTTTACTGTAATCTTTTGAGAATACTTTGAACAAAAGGACTAAGAAAGGATTCTAATGATATTTTTATATTCATGCATTAGAAATAGAATCGACGCCATAACACGCCATTTTTTTGACAGTTTTGTTGACTCCCCGAAATTAAATCTAAAATGATTCGAATAATTTACCCTAGTTTATATTTTATCACGATTTAAATAAAATCAGATGCCACTGATATTAAAGCACCATCACGGTCGTGATAATTTTGTTGACATGCCCCTTCCTTGGCCTTCTTATTCAATGACAGCTACTAAAACAAAATACTTAAAAATGAAAATGTCGATTTTTTATGTCAAAGTTTGTCAGATAGGTATACCAAATGCTTTCTCATCCTGCGAGACTGTGACACTGAAACACCTAACTAATTTTAATTGATTTAAGTAAATTTGTGTTCGAAAATCACTGAGAAACTTGTCTCTAGTTTCGTAAATAAATATTTATATTTTTAAGTATTCAGTTTCAGTAGTTAAATTGACAAAATTTTACAGCAATAAACCCTCCACAAAGGTATAGACAAAATTTCTTTTCAAGTAGGCGCCATATCTTTGTTTCTATTAAATTTATTTTTAGAGCTACCGATAATAATCAACGAAATGAAACTCTGAAAATTTGATGAAACAAGGCTTTACCTCTAGGGCGAGAACAACAGGTGATTGAACTATCCACTTAAGTCTCGTCTATTTACAATCTAGCTTCTCGCCCAACAACCATAACCATTTCCTTAATTTGACTAGAGTAACAACATCCAAATTTGATAACTTAAGTGCGATTCGCTCTGCACCGTTCCTGTCTTAATATAAATATCTAAATCCCTAGCCTATTCTTTTTAGTTTTTTTTAAATTTAAATTGTGTTGGTATAAACGTTATCTGTGTAAGAAATCCGTCCGTACCCCACCGAATATGTATATATACACGCGAAATTCAATCGATCTCTCTAGTTTCTTACGCAGATATGAGTTAATATATTATGACATATTTTTAATACAATGTTTTTGAAACTAGGAACATACTGTATCAAAAATATCTACTTTACATATTCAGTCCGTTTTTTTTAAGTTTTGTAACAACTGTTGTATAAAAAAGATCAAAATCAACGGAAATGAGAGCCTTTTTTATTAGTTGACAGACTACTACTTGTTCTTCTAGGTAAATTTTAAATCAACGTTACCTGTTCTGATTTATTATTATTTTTTGTCTGGTGATAAACTACTACCCCCTGTAAACAGTCGAAAAACTCGTGTGAACCTTTGTACACAGTCATTTTATGTACAAATCAGTAATTTGTGACGCGCAAGAACCGTTTATACACTCAACAAAACAAAGCACACAGAACATTCGCAAAATAAACTTAAATTAGGTTAGAGTCTCCAACAGCGTTTGTGACAGTCGTCATATAGTCCGTTGGTCTTACACTCAAGACCATTATCGTATTTTGGTACTTAACTACTTATTTAAACACCCGAACGACGAAATAAATAAATAAGTACAGGATTTTCTTTGTTTTTGAAGCCGTAATTAAACGGAATTAACATCGATGGAGAGGTCGACAATTAACAAAAAGACTACGGCTATTAGTTTAGCAGTAGCGGCATGGCACTCGGGGAAGTCCAGCGCGGCAAGGGTGCCACTGCGCGCGCGCGTCTCCTTTTAAATAAGTAGCTAATACAAAACCTACGTCGAACCGCAAAGAAAATCTCTTCTATAAACGTATAAATTTGCATCTACTTCTGCGAAGCCGCCTGGTAGGCGCCGTACTGGTCCTCTGGGCTGGCCGCGTTGCTGGTGTGCTCAGAATCGACAGGCATGTGGATGATGGGGTAAGGATAGAACCCCTGCAACAACATTATAGATTTAGTTACAATTTCTTAGTACTTTTTTAAAAAAAAAACAACTTGTTTTAAATACAGTGTGTCCCAGAAATAAGTGCAAGTATTTTAAGGGGTGGTAGATCTGGTCAAAAGAAACATATTTTCTCTTTACCATTTTTCAAATAAATTGAAAATAACCGAGTTATTTAATTTTGAAATTTAAAAAAAAATAATAGCAACATTTTGAGAACCGCCGGCAGATATCGCCAACTACATCCAATTACCCGGATCAAGCCCGGATCTCAGGTAATTCGACGCCCTGTGTTGCCATATCGACAAGAAAGTATATGCTTAAAAATAAGTCATAAAATCACACCACCTGAGGAGTTTTTAAGATTTTGATATTATTACACAAAATAAAAAAAACTACCCAAAATTTAAAAAAGATACTTATGACAGATCGATGTAACTGTGACAGTTCTCTTTTTCGATAGACTTAACTAAAATACACTTGCTGCTTTACTTGTACATGCTATTATAATAACTGCTAAAATAACAGTTCTCATTTCTAACACATTATTTTCATATAGGCTTCATCACAGTTTGAACCACTGATTTACAAAATACCTTGAAAAGCGCACATTACTTTAAATACCTTTCTGAATGAATAAATGTTGAGAATCATTGTCTCTTATCGCTACTTTACGAACTACTTTTAATCTAAGAAAATACATGTTTCATTCAACATATTTTGTTTTTTCGCTATCTTTTCAATGTATTTCGACAATGCCATAAACAGCAAACCATCAGCCAAAAGAGCCGCGTGTCAACTGGTTCTTTGTTCTCTCGTTCTTTGAGTCGTCGCGTCGCATCGCCGGCGCCGTGTCGAGCTTGCGTCATTCAACGATATTAAGCGAGGTTGCCGTAGTTTCAACAATTTCAAATTCAAGACATTCGAAGCGTTCAAATTCGTATTAAATTTAAAAATAAAACACAGAAACATGAAAGGAAACAAACAAAACAAAAATGAATTGATTATTCGTTGGGCCGTTTTCGATATATTGAATTCTGAATTACGATAAACATTTTAAGAATTTCTTTTTTGTGACCTGATTGTGAATAATATGATGAATCATTTTAATAAATTTATTCCAAAATAAAGTTATTTTGCAGCATAACAAAGATTTTCGTAACCGTAACGTTATAGTTAATATTCGGTGGTTTTTGTTAAGTTTTCATTGAAAGGGTACAAAAAAGTACTAAAAATAATTGATGTGTTTTTTTTTAAACAATTATTAGTAATGAGCATTGATAAAAGATTAAATTTAACATTCCTAATTTTTTGTGTAGAAAATTGTGTTTTGTGTAGAAATCAATTTATAAATATAGAACTATGTAGAATGTGGATAACATAGGAGGTTGCAACACTGCAAGGTTTAGATACACAGTAGAGAAATCTCAGGTGAATAAACAAGTGGCACTAAAAAGTTTTTTAAAATTTCCCGGAAAATGTCACGAAAAGAAAAAATTTCACATTTTCAAATTTTTTTTTCTAGTGTCGAAATATACTACCAGTTAAAATACTTGCACTTATTTCTGAGACACCCTGTATATAAAATACCCAGTGATGGAATTCTGGAGATCAGGACACTGTCTCCTCAACGAATACCTCAGTAGGCTGAAGCTGAGAAACGACGGCGAATGCAGATTCTGCGGGGAAAATGGGGAAACACCAGAACACCTTATCACTGAGTGCGCCGAGACGACGACCATTCATGCCATTAACTTTGGTACGGTTGGTGTGGAGGACGGAGAGCTGGCCTCTGTGGAGCCGTCTCAATACTGACTTTTATTAAAGCCCTGAGACTGTATGATGAGTTATAACTCGTTATAACTCAAGAAAGGGGATCACACAATAGATCTGTAAGGTCGCGGTGATTAACTCCCCTCCTAGACATTCTACTACTATTCTACTATGGCATTGATTACTCTGAGATTGTTATAAATTAGGGAATTGTAGCGAATTTTGAAGCTGTGATCTAGGAAATCTACAAATTTTAATTTGGTCCTCGATCCACAATCAGGGCCTTCGTAATTTAGACGTTTCAGATCAGTCCTTACCTGGGGTGGAATGTAGGAGCCCGGGGCTTGCGTCAACTGCATGGCGTTCATCTGGGTCGTGAGCTGGGGAATGACACTTGTATAAGACATGGCCGTGTCGCTCTGCAGCATGACGGGTATCGCGCGCGGAGTCTGGCCGTCCCTGGAGGGCACGTGGCCCTGCAGGTTGTAGTCCTCGACGCTGGGCAGAGCCATGCCGGACGACGTCATCACGTACTGAGGCAGCCACTGAGCACTGTAGTTGGGGTACTGAAACGAAACATTATAAGTAGATAAGTTTCTTGATATGCTCCTTCCTTAGTCTATTTATTCAAAATACTAAATAAACAGTCTACCGAAAATGACACACATCTGATCATAGTTTTATGCCAAATAAAATCTAACAAAAAGTCTCTAGAATATAACATACCTGAGGAATATGCCTATAATTAGGGTATGGCACCATGTGCTGGCCAGCAACACCGTTTTGAGCAAGGGCTTCTGAGGGGTAAGCCATGGTGCCCATGGAGTCTTGTGCATCACGCCACTTCATGGTATTATCGTTAGACTAAACATAAAAACAATAAATACCAAAAAAACTGCATATAGCCGTATCCATTCTGGAAGTAAACTTACCCGTACCAAGAACGGTTCTTTGCTATGTTGGAACAAACCTATTTTCATCTAAAAATTTAATATACTTGGTCATTCTAAATCCGTAGTTTGTACTTTAACTTTTACGACAAAGATAAAGGTACTTGATTTACATTATAACCAGCTAATAGACAGAGACAAATGGCAATACCATAGACTTAAAATAAAATATAGACTGAGCATCTCATTCATAAATAGCTGGAAAATGCGGTTAGACAATGTTTTGTTATTGTTGTGTTATTGTTTTACGTTTTAACGAGTGCGACACGAACGATAGATAGGTTGTCTTCGTCGTAACGGTCGTTCTCTGACGAGAAATGCAACACTCTTTCGTTTTTCTGTACACCTGAATTCTCCCTATCATAGCTGATAGTCCAAAAACGATTAAAATAATAAAATACATGTCATAGAAAAAATTTTAATAATCGAAATTACGTATTTAATTTTTGAAATTAATAATAAATTATTAATTTTAGTCAAACATTTACAACCCTAATATTAATCAAAACAGGATCTATTCTATAAATATAATAGAATCGACGACATGGAAACAGAAAAAACTTTGCGATTGTTGTAATTTTTTTTTCTGGTAAGTGATGTCTTATTATGTAAATTAGAGAAAACAGAAATCTGTTTCATTAAAGCAAGGAAGGAAGGAAGGGATAAAATGAAAACTACATTTATTTAACTCAGTACTATCTTTATTATACCGGGTGCGTCCCAAAAGTGGCTCGCCCCCATAAATTTTTGATTTTTTCAAATCAAGATTTCGTATATTAGTATATGACATAAATTAGGATTGATTGACGCATTCAATTGTTTTTGGTCACTTCCTGTTTCACCGGAAATGACTATAATTTTGATTTTTAAATGGCACCCTAGGTATCTATTTTATTATCTTTATCTACGTTATTCGATAGAAAATGACACTCTGAATAGAATGACATATCATATGTCAACTGTTGACATTTTCGCATATGGTTTAATTGAAATTGTAAAACGCGGTTCATAACGACAATTTGACTCGAAATACCAAGTATCAATATATTCATAAAAAAATGCTTTTTCCAAATATGCTAATGAGTCACCTTTGTTCCATTTGAAAAAAATGACATATGATTAAAAATACGATTTGTGCATCTTTTAACCGGCATAGACAAGACACGAAAGACATTAGACGATCAAAACTATTTTTCCAAGGCTCCTTGATTAAAACTTAGTGTTTAACACCGCCGTGGCACCCTGGATTGAAATTTAAAATACGATTTGTTTTTAACCGGCAATGTCAAAAGTTGACATATGATATGTCATTCTATACAGAGTGTCATTTTCTATCGAATAAAGTAGCAATATACCGAGGGTGCCATTTAAAAATCAAAAGTTGTAGTAATTTCCGGTGAAACAGGAAGAGACCAAAAACAATTGAATACGTCCAATCCATCCTAATTTATGTCATATACTAACATACAAATCTGTTTTTTTATCTGAAAAAATAAAAAAGTCATAGGGGGTAAGCCACTTTTGAGATGCACCCGGTATATTAAAAAATATTGTTTCATAATGTAATATCAATAAAATTCTTGTATATTGTTTTAGATTCTGAAGATAGGTTTAGAATAAACCAGAATATATTTTTAACTGACGCTGAATATAATTAATCTATTATGTATAATAACAGGGTTATAATTATGATTTTGTTATAAAAACCTTTATAAATGATTATGTAATAGAAAAAATTCAGATTTTACATTTTACTAAAATATTATCTAAATAAGCGCCTTTCTACAACAACGCCACTGTCTCCCAATTGGTAAATTGAGAGTTGCCTACCGGTCGAAATTCGTTTCGAGACTTAAATCACAGAATATCTAGCTACGCAACAGAAAAATACTTGAAATGAAAGAGCTAAAATTGCACAAATAGAATACTAGATGGCGCGACAATATCATAATCAGAATATAATTAGAAATTTTGAACTTTCGGTTTTGGATCGACGGCTCGTCGACGGCCTTATAGCTCGGCTAAATATGCACAGTTGCCAGATTCAAAAGACTTGAATTGGCATCCCATTCTTTTATTGTGTATAATGCAGTATGTGTTTCTTTCTATTCTTCTTTTCTTGTCAGATACACTTATATTAATTATTCCTTTGGCTATTAAAATAGTTTTAAGTATATTATTACAAAACATATACATTTTTAATATACACTATACCTTATAATGTTAACTAAGAAAATACCTTTTAATTACCTTTAAAATTAATAATATACAGGGCGATTGATAGTGATATTTATTAATGCTGGAACGTTAGTAATGAAATATAAGTTTAATAATAATGGAAATAATTTATTAAAATGCAGTACAAAAAGTGTTAACTCACTAAAATATACTATAATAACAAATTTCTTCCGTTTGCCACGTTATTTATATAGATCTAGGTAGATTTTAAAAAGTGACACAGGTACAATTAATAATATATTAGTTCGGCATAAAAGTTGCTGTCACGACATCGAACAATAAATTAAAATTCGTAAAATAAATTAAAATTATTAATTAAAGAAATCTTTATAAAGAAACGCAAGTATACCAAATTTGGGCCCAATCGAACTCCAGGAAATTATATCATAATAGTGTACTATATTATGGTACCACTTGATATGCTTTAAGGTACCATAATATTGCAATGTCACAGAAGATCCGTAATATACCAAATTTAAGAACAATCGAACGCCATGAAATGGTATCGTAATATGGTACTATATTAAGGTACCACTTTATATATATCATAGTACAATCATATTACAATGTAACCGAAGATACGTAGTATACCAAGTTTAAGCCCAATCGAACGCCAGGAAATGGTATCGTAATATGGTGCTATATTAAGGTACCGCTTTATATGCATCATAGTACCATCATATTACAATGTCACCGAAAATACGTAGTATAATATAATAATATGAAGTTTAAGCCCAATCGAACGCCATGTACGTAATATAGTACTATATTTGGTACCAGTTGATATGCTTCATGGTACCATAATAATGCAATGTCATCAAAAATACGCAAGTATATATCAAATATGAGCTCAATCGAACGCCAGGAAATGGTATTGAAATATGGTACTATATTAAGGTACCACTTTATATGCATCATAGTACCATCATATTACAATGTAACCGAAGATACGTAGTATAACAAGTTTAAGTCCAATCGAACGCCAGGAAATGGTATCGTAATATGGTACTATATTATGGTACCTCTTATTATGCTCCATGGTACCATAATATTACAATATCACCGAAGATACGTAGTATCCCAAATTTAAGCCCAATCGAACGCCATGTACATAATATGGTACTATATTATGGTACCATGGTATTAGATGATATGCATCATAGTACCATCATATTACAATGTCACCGAAAATACGTAGTATACCAAGTTTAAGCCCTATTGCCGCCATGTACCTAATATTGCTATGTCATCAAATATGGTACTATAGAAGGTACCACTTTATATGCTACCTGGTACCATAATATTACAATGTCACTGAAGATATAGTATACCAAGTTTAAGCCCAATCGAACGCCATGTATTGTAATATAGTACTATATTATGGTATCACTTGATATGCTTCTGAAAAAAACGGCGTCCAGTTGGCTGGAGAAGGACGATCGTTTGCCATATAAATTTACATATAAAATGACAGTGATATTAATTTCATAGCTATCGCTAACGCCGTTTTTTCCGATTATACAATATGAACTTGGTATGAACACAATCGAACGTCAGGAAGTGGTATCATAATAGTAGAACAATACTTATTATATTGTCGCCGAATTACAATGAAAATTCAGGATTCAATTATACAATCAAACGTCAGGAAGTGATTGTAATTTAGCTCATAAGATTTAATTCCAACTAACATGGCAAACTGAAAAAAACAGCTCTGATCTATTTTAATATGTTTAAATGATGTAGCAAATTTGAAGGTAGGCTTTATCAGGAAGTATTACGATATGAATTACACATTAGCAACACTGCACAAAATTCTTTTAAATTTCGTTTGTAGAAAACTGTTTTCTTTTAAATTTATTGCCCTCTATTATGTAGTAGCGAAACTAGCACATCAAAATATCTGATTTGGAGACAGACTTTTAAAGCCTGTCTCCTTTTGCTACCTACAATTTTATACATGTAACGAGGCTTTTGTTGCGTAGCTAGATATTCTGTGCTTAAATGGATTATTTAAGTTAAATTTCTTGCAAATTTGGCACTGGCGAACCATATTTTATAGTTCTTGAATACAAAAAGTAAATAAAATAAACATTTTAAGGACTGCAAACTAAGAAAATGCGATAATACAGCCAGAGGGAAGTAGCCGCAACAATGCTTTACTACACACGTGCGACGCGTACTACAAAATAATAGAAGAATAAATAGGCGATCTCGCCTCTAATCGGTGTTGCCATATTGTAAAGGATTTATCCTTTTTACGTAGTATTCGACTTATAATTAAGTAGTATAAGGACTATTTAATACATCTATGGAATATTAAAACCTACTTTATTAAAATGCAGTATTAATATCTCAATATATGTATATAATAAGTAAACAAATATTGATAATATTAAAGACGTGACAACATAGGCTGGACGAGGAAGGTTTGGTCGGCTGCGGTCGAGTGTACCCAGAAGTAAACATGTGTACAAAAATGATTGTTTGACCGCGTTTAGATGTAAATAGTGTAGTCTCTATTTTAAGTCTATGGGCAATACCGTATAGAAGATTCGAATATTGTTAGACACAGTCAGTACTTTTTGTCTCTTTATAACATCTATGAATTTTCCATTAGCGTATCTCAGCTATTATTTAGAATGACCAAATCTGTATTCGTTACATGATTTTAGAATGAGATTCTATCTCTTTTTGAAGGTTAAACGTCTTCCAAAATTGATACAACTATATTAAGTTAAGAGTCGTGTAATGATAAAACTTACTTTATTATACAAATTCTTCTTTTTGTTGCCTCCATCGGCAAATTTCACTAACAAGGGATCCTTTGAGTTGCTCAACATCTGATTATTGAATATCTGAATTATTTGTTCGCACTTCTCTTTGGATTCCATGCGAGCAAATCCGACACCTTTAGATATGCCTAGAAAGATAGAGTTGTTATAAAAAGTGACTAAATTCAGTAGTTTTAATTATTTTATATACAGGGTCGTGTCCGAATTGTATTTAGGAAACTTCGACAGCGTATGCTATGCAAAAAATAAGTAAAAAAGATCGTATAAATGTATGTCCTAAAATGCTTCGTTTCGAAGATACAGGGTGTAGAAGTTTCAATTTTATTTTGATTTTTTCCAAATCATTTCTGAACTAATGTCAATCTTGGATGAAAATTGATGTCTTGGTGTTTTAGACATGATTTGATTTTGATGTCAATATGACCCTTACTTGAAGGGGGCGCCAACTACATATTTTTTTTAATACAATAGTTAAAAAAAAATCGCAAAACATTTTCCCCGATGCACGTTATTAATCATATCGACATTGACACTAATATCTATAAACCTGACTAAATAAAAAATTGGCCAAAATGTTTAAATTTGTTGTGTAATTTAAGATACCGAGCAGCTCTTCATTTTACTTTATAGAGCAAATGATAACAGATATGGTAAGAGATATTTTATATAGATTAAAGCTGCAAAAATTAGTTTAAACTAAGGAAGGAGCATAATGCTATCCATGTATTCATGCATGGTGGGCCGAAAAAGGACTCTAGGGTGGAGATCCTTGACAGTTCTATTTGACGATTCATTTGACACATTTCAATTTGATTTGAAATTTTGTGGATTTGTCAGTCTTTACAGAGCTCATTTTATGTTATTTATTATTTATTCTACTACTGATAGTTGTATAAAGGTAGTAAATCTAGATGGAAGTTGTGGCAGAACTTAAATTAACAGTGACACTATCGCGATTTATTGAAAAAGACTCTAAAATAGTTGGTTGTGTAGCATGCGGTAGATCTCGGCAAAAATCGAGTGAAATAATGGAACAACTTTTCGCTGGTAAGTGACTCTATAATATACATACGTGTAGTAAACCAATCATTTATGAAATTCACTTAAATCAACTAATTATATATTTTTTCTTGCATTTTTGCTTACTACTTGTCAAAGATTAGATGTTAAAGAATTTAGATACGTCAATTTGACTTACCTGCTTCAGTAGCGTATCGGATGTTTATGGTTATAAATAATTATTATAACTACTTATCTATTTTTATTAGAATTTTATATTTTTATAACAATTTTAATAACTACCAACATTTATTCACAACGTAAAATAAAAAAAAAATATTGAGTCTACCCCACGTCTACCCTACATCATAGTTTTACATTTTTTAAATAAAATTAGAACGGCACTGATAAACCGGAATTTAAGTCGGCCATATTTGAGGCCCATCGCGGTGGACCTAAGATTTTTGATATGCTCCTTCCTTAGTCTTCTTATTCAAAGGTTTAAACTGAATTTTATTATCGCTTGTTGGTCACATTGCGCCGTTTTCAGCAAGGTTGTCATTTATTATTTGACAATTATCCTAATGTCAGTCATTATTTTGTATAATATCGTGTTGCTTTTGAATCTTTGTAATTCTCGTTTTATTGCCTATTTTCATAGTCTTGTTTTAAAAATTGCACTTTTAAGCAGAAACAGTTCTTTTAAGAACAAAATTTTGAGTTTTTGTGTTGCATTTCTTGAAACCGTGTGTTGAAAATATGCCGAAGCATTTAAATAGTCGAAGCAAAGAGCTTGTAGCTTCCCTGATAAACTATTTTGAACGAGAACGTGCCAATAAAGGTCCTTTATTACCCTTGACTGCAGTCAAAGAAGTAAGTTTGATTGATAAGCACAGTACATCACTTTCAAAGATATTTCTACGTTAGTTTTTATTAAATTCTGTGATTATTAGTCTGCGCATTAATAGCGCATTCTTGTTATTACCACTTATGGCGTTGTAAAATGTTGTAACGTGCCAAAATTTCACTAAACTATTTTGTTTCTTTTCTTTAATAATTTAACGCTAATTGATATTATTATTAGTCTGAAATATCGATCAGTTCAATTCAGTAAACCAAGAATAAATAAATCGTACTTACATGTTAACAAAAGTAATTATTCCATCCTTATTTTTAACTAAACATATTTCACACTTAATAACATTTTTTTTTGCAGCACAAAACTAGTTTGATTTAATACAATTTAATATTTATTTTAGCCGAAATAGATAAAATAATTCTTTCCGCCGTTAATTCTGTTTATATACTAAATACGCATGGTACAAAGAATACAAGGTATGATATTGCGCAGGTTGGTCGCTACGTTACAGGTGATAACAGGCGCTATTGGTCAGCACGCTCCGCGCGCCAGTTCAAATCGTCAAGTTATTGTTATAAACCTGTTTTTTTGTTTATATACCGTCATTGAATTATCGCTAAGCAAGTTACTGTGGAGCAGTGCGTAAGGAGTCGGGCTAGGAAGCGAGAGACCGGAGTTCGAATCTCGGCCGGGACATAACTTTTATTTATTTTTTAAATACTGTTGTATTCTATAGTTTATTTTATAGTATAAAAAAAAGAACTATTTATTCTGTTATTTTTTAATCTCCGGTATTAATATAAATTGATTATTGGTACAATACCTCATTTAATATAAAATAATATTCTACTTTTGAAATGTATCGGGCCCTAATTGTACCTAAAAAGTAATATATTTTTAATGATATACCATATTGTAAACTATTTAATATTTCAGTCACTTAAAAAGTTAATTTGCATTGAATAATTGCCTACCATTAAAGGAAATTTGAGCTATATAATCCTTGATGGGCATATTCTGGGTATGCAAATACTTCCTTTAAATTTTGGGTTTCGTTCAACCGATTTATTCTCAAAACCTGAAACATCTAAATATAAAAAGAAGCACAGGTTACTAATTATAATAAACTTCACCCATAGAATTACTTCCACTAATTATAATAAACTTCACCCTTGGAATTACTTCTATCACAATTACAATACATTATTAATTGGTCTTGTAGCATTGGCATTTTCTACTTTTCGATGGGAAACAATAAAATTCCCAACATTTTTTAAATGATGTAACAATTCCTCTTGTGGTTACTTTTTCATATATATCCTCATCTCTGTCCTCATGTGAAATCAGATGCAATGAACATGAAAATTATTTACCATAAACATCGCAAATTAAAAACCTAATAAACAATTTTATAGGTACCGAATATAGAAATAAATTTAGTATTCTTACCTATTATGGTCCAAAGTCCAAATCCATGTTAATAGATAATTATTATTTTTAAATATATTTTTTTGGAACTGCTGGTTTTAGTAATTATTAAATTAAACGAACTAAACAGTTTTAAAAATAAGCAATTCTTAACCATAACCCCAAAAAATGCAGATCTCCTGTCAACTTTCTTTATTTTTTATTTATTCCTCATTTTCCTAGTGACGTCACAGGTGGTATGCGCGAACTGAACGAAATTGGAGCCGCTATCGATCATACCTTGTATTCTTTGTACCATGCTAAATACGTAGGTTAGAAATTTTTGAATTGAACTGTCAAATATTTATTTATATTTTTATTAACATTAACTATTAGGCAACCCAAAATATACTTTAATAAATTGATTATATATTTTTGTATTTTATTTAATCAACAGTAATTATTGAGCCTATTGTCACTTAGTTAAACTCATTAAATTTATGTTGCTCTATTTTAATTTTTAGGTAGAATTTTCTAAGCATAATTGTCTTAAAAATATCGTATCGATCCGGCAAGTGAGTCATGCGCAATATCTCTAGATTGTTGTTATTTATTAATTTTTGAATGTTTTGATAAGCAAATTTCTATATAACTTTCATTAATCTCGTTAACTTTATTTATTCTATTAATTATATAAATTATTGATATTAACTTTATTTTCCTTTAATATATAACTTTTTCTTCATGTCTTTATTCAGCTCATGGTTGGCAATCCATATTTTATCAAGGGCTCGTGTTTTTATCTGGCTATTTCTTTGTTGCAAAAAAGGTTTTCGTTTTTCTTGGAACTACCTTGGTTTGGTCACTTTATGTTCAGCTAGTGTGAGGTACAGAGGCCTCTCGGTCATTTTTGTCAAGTTTTTGATTTTTACCCTTGTGGGGATTTTCGAGTGTGCCTCAAAAATTACTGCAGCATCCTATCTTACCTTTTGTTTTTTTGGACGGTGCTACGGTTTACCGGTGACGGGATTTTCACCTCAAAAAGCTGACGTGGGTCAACCAAGCAGCCCGCCTTTTTTTTTATTGAGCACCCCATTCCATCCAGGGGAAGAAATAATATTAATCACCTGAGGATTCGTAGAAAACCCTGAGTTAGCAGGGTTTTTTTTCGTCGGAGCCGAAGAGTTTTTTGTCTGGACCGAAGAAGTTTTTTTTGTCTGGGCCGAAGAAGTTTTTCTTCTGTGTTGAAGACTTCTCTCTGAGCCAGTTTTTTTGTTGGAGCAGTTTTTTTCGCTGTATCCATTTTACTTTTCTGGAGGAGTTGACAGTCGACGGTCGACAGTTGACAGCCGACGGTGTCTGCCCAAGATTGATTTGATTTAGAAGATTTTCAACTATTTGGTATCGTACAATTCAATTTTTAATTTTTTCCCTATCTTACGATTTGAATTTCATTGGTGCGTACGAATACTGAACGTAGATAATTTTTTTTTAACATTATAATTTAATTAGAATAAATTTTCACATACTTAATTCTGTTGATAAAATAGTATTTCATTTTTTTTCCCTTTAATTTTTTTTTGTAAATTTAATACAGCTGACACAGTTTCTTTTGGTCTCTATTTAAAATTTAAATCTATTCATTTTTTTTATCGATATCTAAATTTCTTGAACTGATGAATTCATAATTATTAGTTGATTATTTTGATTTATTTATTTAATAATTATATTATTAATTATTATTATTAGTGAATTGGTTTAGTATTATTTATTTGATTTATTAATTTGTTGATTAATTTGATATATTAGCTGAATTTAGTTGCGCTGATATATACATATATATTTTATTTTGTAAATCTTACGTGATCACGAAGGGTACCTAGGTATTTACGTAATTTTGCTACTTGCGTATTGTGAGATATATTTTTCTTGGTGCACAATTTTTTTTATTGATTTATTTAATTTACTATTTGCTATTTGGTATTTTCTATTTACTGTTGCCTATATTTTCCTTTTATATTTCAATAGAGGGTACTGAAACTAATCAGTTTGCATTATTTTTTTATATTTTTCCTTTGACCCTATGTCTACATAATTCTCTAAGATCTTGACTTTTTTTTGTTTATTTATTTACTTTTTTTTTATTTATGTATTTGTGGAACTTGTAAGGCCCTAAATACACCTTGGGGGATTTCTGACTTTTTTTCCGTCTAAAGTCAGTGGCGCTCTTAACCCGCCCCTACTCTCCGAATTTTCTGAGCTAGGGCATAAATTTGTTCGCGACTAGACCCCTGCAAATTCCATAAATATTTATTTTTCTTAATCGCTAACTTAATAATATTTTTTTCTTCTTCGTATTTTTTTTACTTCTTTTCTAAATTTTTTTTTCTTTTTTTTTAATTTAAAAGAGCCGAGCTAAGGCCAAAACGCGTGACAAAGTACATCAATAAATAAATAAATAACCCATAATAACGCTAAGAATAATCTTCATAATGGACTAGTTTTTGCTAATATGTAATAAGTAAAATAAGCTATAAAACAAATAAATCAATTAATTACCAAAATATTAGTTATTAAATTAAAAATAAAACGTAAAAATCTTTAAAAAATGATATAATAAATATATTGTTTGTCACTCTTAAATTAAGATTCATCTCATAAATCCATCACCATCTGGCAGCGCTGTCGCCATCGCTTGTCACTCAAAGTTGATCACGTGCATCGGAAATTGTTTTGCGATTAACATACGAACTTTTTTTCTTATTTTTATCTGCAGAATATGTTGCCGAATAGAATTTACACCACCCTGTATATCACAGCATTTCTCAGAGGTTATACTACTACTCACCTTGAGAATCACGAAGTATTCTAGTTGATATAACTTGTCCGTACTTGGACAGTAAATTGTCCAGATCAGCTTCCTTAAAAGTTTGAGGCAAATTCGCTATATACAAGTTTGTCGGATCCTGCTCTTGTTGCTAACAACATAAAGACAAAATGTTATATATAAAACCTTCAAAAATAAAATAAAATAAATCGATTTTAGAAATGGTAACTTTATTGAATAAAATAGTTTATTTCTGAAATTTTGAAGAGAGAAAGTGATGAAAAAGAAGTTTAAAAAATACGTAGATTGTTTTATAACACAACAATATGTTACTACAAAACGAGAAAATAGTTTTATAAGTAATTTGGTTAGTCGGTGCCGTCATCCAATCATATTTGTACAGAATTAAATGCACTATCATCATTACCAATACGGTATTTCAATTTTTATACAACATGCAATGCTTGTTTTGTTACTGTACAGCCATATACACTAAAATCATTATGCCCAGTACATTATACAGCATGTAAATGAATAAGTGTGAAGAAATTCGAGATGTATTTGCCTTTTTATTCTTCTCATTCGCCTAGGTTGATTATAATTGGAAAGATATAGAAACAAAATATTTGATGGGTATATGTGGGAAGGCAATGTGCACAATTTAAAATTATTTTGAAATATACAGGGTGTTTCAGAACTAAAATCCATACCAAAGTAATCTTTTTTTTATGGAACACCCGGTATTTTATTTCATTTTGGATTCTTGGGCCCAAAAAAAGGCATTTATTATAAGGGTTAAATATGTTTAAAATCTTTGGTTTTTGAGATATTTAAAGATATTTAAATCTGCATGCTACAATAGAATAAATTATTAACACCCTGTGTACTTCCCCTAAGAGATGCAAGACCTTGTCGTTGGTGGGGAAGCTCCTGGTCAGGTGCTGGGGGGAATTCCCTCTAGCACTTGGCTTGGTCTAAGAAGCATCTCACTCATCGTCTTGTCCCTGACTGTAGTGTCGTGGCCAGGGAATTGCACCAAGACATATAACGATACCGGGCGGGGCTACGGACAGCTTCAACCCTGGGGCACCGGGGGGCACCCCATTGTATTTTACCCCTTTCTTCTACATGCGGGGCTCTGTAGAAGTGGACCGACTGTCCCTAGCGACTCATAGGCACACTATGAGATCTGGTAATAATAGTAATAAAAACATCACCGGTGAAGCTGTGGAGAAACCCCCTAGCGACACTGGGAACAGTAATAATGAAAGTTCCAAGGGGCCAAACCCAAAGAGAACTACAGGAGAGGTGGCTGACACTTGCGTGAGGCCATCCTCCGCAAGTGGCATACAAGCTACCACCTCCTCCAAGGGTCGGGAGCCTACCTCCTACCTCTAAACCCAACAGACGACACAAGCTACCGTTTCGTCTACCCGGCCTGGGTCGTAGCTCCTCGACTGTGAGGGACACGTGTCTCGTAGGAAGTCCTGGGACTGTATGATGAGTTATAACTCAAGAAAGTGGGACACAATAGATCTCTAAGGTCGCAGGGATTAACCCCCCTCCCACTTATTCTAAATTCTAACACCCTGTACATTACTTTTCAGAATTAATTCTTGTGTTGATTTTAAAGGTAGAGAAATAAACTTAACAGAAAAATGTTATTGCTTCCTTAAATTTATACAGGGGTATCAACAATTTCTGATCTATTTTAAGAATTTATTTTACATAAAAACTTCGTGATTTCTAGTTCAGATTTTAAATACAGAGCAATTTTTCAATAAAATGGCAACCAAGAGGGCCTAGTGTCGTCATGGCGAGTTTCTAGTGACAGTAGCTATTTTCAAAATCGAAATTAGTTTATGGACTTTATTTTATTTAGCTACAATAGTTAAATAAATAATATTTATTAAATATGTATTTATTATCCTATCAAGAAAAACGAAGTAGTTCTTTGATTTATTTTACGATGACTTGTAGATATATGGATTTTCTATAAAAGAGCCAATTACGGCAAATTCATTTTCTTCACTTCCAACGACAGGTTTCTGCATAATAGTTTTCTTATAAACCACACTACCAGCTCTGCGAAATAGGACAAGTAGTTTTTCAAAAGAACGCTTATCAGGAAGATTCCTATTTGGGTATCTATAAGCATAAGCCCTTTAGGCTAAGAAGCAATTATCCTCATAAAATAAAATCACTAGTAACGTATCTATTCGTTCCGCGAGCAGATACTGCTTTATTTTCTTGATAAAATAATGAATACTTACTTATTATACTATTGCAGGTAAATTTAAGTAAACTATTATAAATTATAAATAATAATGTCCATAAACTAACGTCGACTTTGAAAATAGTTACTGTCACTAGAAGATTGCCACGGCGACACACACCAGCCATCTTGATTGCAATTTTATTTAAAAATCGCTTTTTATTCAAAATCTGAGCTAGACAGGTATAGGAAAGCCTAATATAGTTTGAAAGAGCATTTGAATCTGCTTCGATTTATTTTAAAAATACAGGGTGTGGCTAAAATATATCCTTAAAATAGATCAGCAACTTTTCATAGCCCTGTATAAATTTAAGGAAGAAATACAATTTTTCAGTAAAGTTTATTTCTCTACCTTTAAACTCAGCATAAGAATGAATTCTGAAAAGTAATGTACAGGGTGTTAATAATCTATTATATTGTAGCATGAAAACTGAAATATCTTTAAATATCTCAAAAACTAAAGAATTTAAACATATTTAATCCTTATAATAAATGCCTTTTTTTGGGCCCAAAAATCTAAAAATTAAATAAAAAAACAAAGTTCTGAAACACCCTGTATATTTCAAAATAATTTTAAATTGTGCACATTGCCTTCCCACATATACCCATAAAATATTTTGTTTCTATATCTTTCCGTTTTCGTATAATCAATCTAGGTGAATGAGGTGCGCCACTCTATATATTTTTTTCTTAATTTGACCTTTTTCACTTTTTTCGTTAGGTTAGGTTAGGTTACTAAAAAAACAAATTTAGCTAACGGACAAAAAAATGCTTAACGTTTTGGGAAGTGTATCTTTTCCAGTCGTTGAAAGCCAAAAAATACACAAAAAAAACGAAGAAAAAACTATTTAAAATAAGTTTTTACGGAAACGGCAAATCAAAAAAAATCATACATAAAAAATTTTCTTTTAAGAAAGCAACCACTACCTCAAATTTTTCACTCTATCCAGTTATGGTAACATCCTGTATCCTGTATAACACAAATTGACAAAAAGTATGTTAATATGTCTACTAGACTACGATTTTTTTGTTTTTCGATTACAACGTATTAATTTAGTAATAATAACACACTAAAAATCTAAATAAGTCTTTATGTAAGTTAAAAAACAACATTAACAATTCCAATTAAAAGAAAAAAAAATCAAAAAAAATTTTCTTTTACTGAGCATAATCTTGGTAAGTTTAATTTTGTTGTTTGTGTTTTGTTGCATTTCTAATGTTGTTATTTTATCGCAAGTAAGCTTGTCTTGGCATATTCATTTTTTACATATCTATATATTTTAACTGAATTTATATTTCAAAAAGTTTAAACCTGATTGAGATACGATTCGAAATAAAAACAAAAAATATACAATTATAAACACAATCAAATTAAAACTTTTATTATAGGAATATGGCGCATCAACAGATTCCACTGAACTATATTTAGAATTTTGATTCTTAGTGATTATACACTAGAGATTCGGACATCGAATAAAAAGCTAGGTAAAATATTATTTTTATTGATATTTCTCTTGATAAATTTGATTACCGTATATTCTTACAAAATGTTTCTAAATGATTATTATTATATTTAAATGGATATAACTATCCAGAAATTACATTACATTTGATATCCGATCATCTCTGTATAATTTATGGGTTTTTTCATGGATTACAAAATGTAATCCATAAATTATAGTGTCATCCATGGATTATATTATGAAAACCACAAAAACTTGTGTAATCCACATATTGCAGTCTGTGAATTATAAAGTGTAATCCATGTATTATAGTATGTAATATATAAATATAAATATTGTAATCCATGGATCACACAATGTAATTTATGGATTACACAATGTAATTTATGGATTACATAATGTAATTTATGGATTACATAATGTAATTTATGGATTACATAATGTAATTTATGGATTACACAATGTAATTTATAAATTACACAATGTAATTTATGGATTACATATCCATAGATTACAATTTGTAATCTACGAATTCAACATAATATAATCAATCCATTTTAATGGATAGTGATTTAAAATTTTTTGAATTTTGAAATAAATTAAATAGCTAATTTATCATCTGGCCATTAGAGAATCTGTATATCCACCAATTACCCCCATACTGAAATAAATTCATCTAAAAATTCATGCATCTATGCCATAGCACATCACAAATTCAGTCTACAAATTATATGGAAAACATAATATACAAACAAGTCAAACCTAGTGTTGCTACAAGATATTATCGTCGGCAAACAAGTAGAATGCAATGTTAAATACCTACACTGTACGTGTTCAAATGTTAACTTACACTGGTAACACTAAATTCAACTTTGTTAAGTGTTATTTTAACTCTGTTACAGCACTCTGTTGTCACGTTTTACTAGAGAACGTTTGTCTTTGTCTGTCGAGAAGGTTTTATCGATTCAATACGTATATTAAACAACCTATAAAAATAATTTCAAACATTTATATAAAAAGGGGTGATACAATTTTAAATAGAAAATGTATGCTTTTATAATAATAGTTTCATTTCGCCACGGCATTCAAAATAAGGTTAGAAGAAATTGAACGTAATCGGCAAAGGAAATTTTTATTATATAATACAGGGCCCGAATTCCTTAACTTAGAAAACGCTAAGCGTTTTTAGACGCTCAGCGTATATGACGTTAATCTTCGCTTAGTGCGCATTTAACTACCGATTTAGGTATTCTCATTTGCCGCAATGGGTAAAGACGTTAAGCGATTTGAAAACAGTTACCCTAAAGAGTCGTTTTGCTTGTCGAACTGTCAGTAAAAATTGTGATTTTGTGCGTTCTCTTGCTTTCTAGTGAAAACCATTTCTTCTTCTATCAATTCCTCAATAAGTAATTGATAATTTACGACTTGGCAGCTATAAATATTGTTCAAAACATCGAAAATGCTGAAAGGAATCTACAACATTTCCCTCGTGTAATAAGAATAATGACATCCATAGAAAAATAGGTTGACATAACTCAACAATAGGTTATAAAATTCACGTAACATTGACATTTTTCATAATTTTATTTATATTTGACTATTACTAAACTATTAGATACCTGAGAAATTGCGATGCTGCCACTATGTGCTCAACGCGTATCCAGGAAACGATTCGCGCGGCAACAAGAATACCAAAATCGACTGCTTGGCGTTCCGCTAATCGAATACTTTCTTAATTTAATCTTAACCAAGAAGTAAAAAAAAAGATGGAACAATATTATAAGCCCATATTATAAAGGTGGATTTTGCCTTTTATATTTATTAAAATAGTTTATGGTATACTAAGGACTGGCAAAATTTAGTCTTGGGTCGAGATTTCCGTATGTAAGAAAAGTACAATGCGTTTATAATGCACTGAACAAAGAGAGAACAGTTAAAACGTTGCCAAACGTATGAAATAAACCGAGAAACTGCGCACATTGCTAAGAGACGTGGAAGGGGATATAGCACATTCGTCGCGGTCGATCCAATCAGTACCTCAGTACTAAAATTCTATGTACATCATGCGTTCAGCTTCACGATTTAATTACGTCTCGTGATACTTTATTTGTTTATTTATTAACGAGTCCTTGTAATTTTCCCTATAGCTTGTAAATTTTTAAGTGCAAGTTAGAAACATTTGTATTTTTGGTAAAAATAAGTGGAATTGAGATGGTGTTCGACAGTGATCGCGCTATTAGAACTCTGAATTCAAAAATCGATATCTCGAAATCCATTAGAACTGATTGTACTTTTTTTTTAAAAAACACTTTCTTAATAGTTCTACTATATTTTTTTCGCAGAGAGTATGTGAAAATCTTTATAAATAAAAGTTGCATGATTGAAATTGCTATGCACTAAAAGTAAATGGATGTTTTTTTTTATTTTCGAATGGAAAAAAAACAAGCCTATCGAATTTTTCTTTATTTAAACATCTTATAAAAGATCCAAACTTCAAAATAAAAAAAAGTTTCAATATCTAAAGTGGTTCTCGAGTTACCGCGTGGTATGCGCCGGTTTGCGATCGTGATTTTACTTTACTTGATAGGGAAAGGTGTACCGAAGAAATGTGACAACGCCGCAACATCACACCGTTTTTGTAATCCATAAATTATAGTGTCATCCATGGATTATATTATGAAAACTACAAAAATTTTTGTAGTCCATGTATTACAAATTGTAATCTATGAATTGTAAAGTGTAATCCATGTATTATAGTATGTAATATATAAATTACATCGTGTAAGCCACATATAAACATTGTAATCGATGGATTACACAATGTAATTTATGGATTACTCAATGTAATTTATGGATTACACAATGTAATTTATGGATTACATATTGCAATCCATAGATTACAATTTGAAATCTACAAATTCAACATAATAAAAAACAAGCCTATCGAATTTTTTCTTTATTTAATCGTCTTATCCGAACTTCAAAATAAAAAAGTTTCAATATCTAAAGTGGTTCTTGAGTTACCGTGTGCTATGCGTCGGTTTGCGATCGTGATTTTACTTTACTTGATAGGGAAAGGCCTACCGAAGAAATGTGGCAACGCCGCAACAGCACACCGTCGCATTTCTCTCACTCCCACTTAATAAGATCCCTATGCGATTTACTTCCACACATGTAAATACCGATCCAAAAGTAAGAGTTGCCAGCACGGTATGCTTAATATGAGTTTTATTATTATATAAATTTATTATGAGCACTTAACCTAACCTATATTTCTTTATTTATTTAAAATACTTAATTCACTTCATCATTTAAAAATAATAATATCATTTACTTTTTGGTTTGTCTTGACGCCAGTGATAACAGCTGGTAAATATACAAATTTCTTAAACTTATTGCCAACAAAATGGGCAAAATCAGAGTAGCCAACTATTTCATAGCCATTTTGGATCGTTTGACAAAAAAAAAACATGAAAAATATGGCAATCAATTATCAGAATGACTTAAATCTAAAGAGCAGTACCATTATTTAAGTATTATAAGTGAAAAAAAGTGTATCATCGCCGAGTATGTTGATACGTAAGAGGTGTAAAGACTGTGACAGAGTTCTAAGATAAAGCTAAGTATTACTTCATGCAAACGTACAGTGTTGTGTCTACGAGGACGGTACCAGATACCCACTTTAGCCATTTGAGCCTGAATGTTACGAGCAGTCAGTCCCTTGACCGCACCTTCTGCCGCTGTTGGATTATCAAAATCAACAAATCCATATCCTAAGGAAAATACATTTTAAATATTAGCCACCATAACATTACGTATTAGGGGGTCCGTTATTTACAAAGTTGATAATTTCTCTCACGACGCCCTCTAAATTTTTAGTTTAATGTCTAAAAAAAATAACAGACCATTGTAAACCCTTAATATTGACAATAAACCTTGCCCCAAAGACGATTCATTTCCCATTTTCTTTGGAAATTTTTTTGTCCCATTTTTTTGGGAATTTGCCACTTTTTGCAAATAATTTTTCTCTCTCGATCTTGTTCTCTTGTAGCCATGACAGTCACATATTCTACAGAAGTGAACGCTCTGCAAAAAAGGTCTCTTACAATTTTTCGATAAACCTACTCAAAAACTAAAGCTTCAAAAAAAGTCATAGTATATCTACAAATTCATTTACCCACTAGTAGATATAAAAAAACATTTTTGGTCAACTCTGTCTCAAATAGTTTCTGAAAAATAAAATTAATTTTTTTAAAAGGTCCGATTCAATTTATATCTCCGAAACTAGTTTCAAAAAGAGTCGTACTATACCTACAAATTCATTTACCCACTAGTAGATATAAAAAACATTTTTGGTAAACTGTGTCTTAAATAGTTCCTGAAAAATAAAATTAATTTTTTTAAAAGGTCCGATTAAATTTATATCTCCGAAACTAGTTTCAAAAACAGTTGTACTATATCTACAAATTCATTTACCCACTAGTAGATATAAAAAGCATTTTTGGTAAACTCTGTCTCAAATACTTTCTGAAAAATAAAATTAATTTTCTTAAAAAGGTCCGATTAAATTTATATCTCCGAAACTAAAGCTTCAAAAAAAGTTATAGAATATCTACAAATTCATTTACCTACTAGTAGATATAAAAAACAATTTTGGTAAACTCTGTCTTAAATAGTTCCTGAAAAATAAAATTAATTTTTTTAAAAGGTCCGATTAAATTTATATCTCCGAAACTAGTTTCAAAAACAGTTGTACTATATCTACAAATTCATTTACCCACTAGTAGATATAAAAAGCATTTTTGGTAAACTCTGTCTCAAATACTTTCTGAAAAATAAAATTAATTTTCTTAAAAAGGTCCGATTAAATTTATATCTCCGAAACTAAAGTTCCAAGAAAAGTCGTAGTATATCTACAAATTCATTTACCCACTAGTAGATATAAAAAGCATTTTTGGTAAACTCTGTCTCAAATAGTTCTTGAAAAATAAAATTATTTTTTTTAAAAGGTCCGATTAAATTTATATCTCCGAAACTAAAGCTTCAAAAAAAGTTATAGTATATCTACAAATTCATTTACCTACTAGTAGATATAAAAAACATTTTTGGTCAACTCTGTCCCAAATAGTTTCTGAAAAATAAAATTAATTTTTTTAAAAGGTCCGATTAAATTTATATCTCCGAAACTAAAGTTTCAAAAAGAGTCGTACTATATCTACAAATTCATTTACCCACTAGTTCCCCGAAATTCTCTAACTTTTTTGACAAAATTATAATTATTATTTTTGAAAAATTTAATATATTACTGTGTATTACAAAAAATATACCATTCCGATGGTGTTACGGTTGGGAATTAAGAAATCTTCAAGTCTAATAAAGTTTAAACCATTTAAATCATTTATTAAAATTATATATAAACAATGTTTAACAAACAAAAGATGTTATCGTGGGGACTGTAATACAAAAGAAGAATGGAATTATTGAGCAAACCTACAATAACATTAGCCATGAAACATGACTAAAATGTTTATATATATATAATTTTAATAAACAATATTTATTCAAATAAATCAGCTATACTTAAATGATTTAAACTTCATTAGACTTAAAGATTTCTTAATTCCCAACCTAAAAACCATCCGAATAGTATATTTTTACAGTAGTAGATTAAATTTTTCAAAAATAATCATAATTTTGTCAAAAAAGTTGAAGAATTTAGGAATTTACCAAGTGGTTAACTTTAACCATGAATAACTTTTGAAGGAGTAGGTTTATCGTGGAATTGTAAGGGACCTTTTTTGTAGAGTGTTCAGTTCTGTACACGAATATGTAATTGTCATGGCTGCGAGAGAACAAGATCGACAGAAAAAAAATATTTGCAAAAAGTGGTAAATTCCCATGTAATTGAAATGGGAAATGAATAGTCTTTGGGGCAAGGTTTATTGCTTTATTGTGAATATTAAGGGTTTACAATGGTCTGTTACTTTTAAACGGTTTTATTTAGCTCGACCCGTACGGTATTTATTTATTTGTTTGGGTCAAAATTAGAAATTGAAATTTAATTATAATTAAATTTCAATTTTTTATATTAATTAATTATAAGATCTGAAATTTGGTACACACCTTTAGTTCCGATGACAATACAATATAGTAATATCAATAACATTGTAAATCTAAGATGGCCGCCGGTACAAAATGGCGGATTTCATATTTTTCCACAACCCCCTCAATATGGGTATCAAATGAAAGGGCTACACTAGTAGAATACTGTGATTATGACAAAATTTAGAATCCAAGATGGACGTCGTTACAAAATGGCGTATTAGGTGAGGGCATGAGTACGTGTTCAGAACAGTCGTGTCCAGAACAGTTGTGTCCAAGATTGTGTGACGTTAGAAGGACAGATAAAAAAAAAATAGGTGATGAATTTGTGAAAACGTTGCGGTAACATTGACGTTACAAAAGGATTGGTAAATGGTGCTATAGGCCACATTACAGAAATTGTTTGGCCTCAGTTCCGTTGAACCCAAATGTACGAAACAGATGTACCATCAGTTTGGATTGACTTTGGCAGAGACGGCATACACGTTATACACCCGAAAGCCATACAGTTTCCAGCAAAATTCAATTATGGTACGACTGAAAGAAGGATGTTACCCTTAATTTTGTCATGGGCATCCACCGTCCATAAAATGCAGGGCAGCACAGTCGACCATGCAGTAGTGTATTTGGGCTCAAAATTGTTTGAGGAAGGGCAAGCATACGTGGCTCTAAGTCGAGTCAAGTCTCTGGAAGGGCTATGTATTGAGGAATTAGATTGTAATAAATTATTAGGTAAAAAACCATGTAATAATGATGCACTAAATGAACTAAATAGAATGAGGAATATTCGGTAGGCATTTCCGTTAAATACTAAAAACTAGAAAATAAAAAATCGGTAAAAAAACTTTTAAGTTAAACGGTTTTATCTTATGTGCACTGAAAACTAGAAAATAATAATAACAATTAGGTATTTTGAACTTCTAGTTCAGAAATATTTTAGTACTAGGCAGAATAGCTTTTAGGCATATTAGACTAAAATAAAAACGTGGGGCCCCTCTGAAATCCTACCTATGGCAAAGCATATCTTTATACTTTGGTAGATCATGAGCTCGGCGTTCGCTGGTGAAGCCGCCACGGCTGGTTATTGATTGTCAAAATCTCCAGTTACGATTATAGTAAGTCGATGCAATCCACACTTAGTATAGAAGAAAGTATTACAGCAATAGTTAATGGGCCCCACGTTTTTATTTTAGTCTAATATGCCTAAAAGCTATTCTGCCTAGTACTAAAATATTTCTGAACTAGAAGTTCAAAATACCTAATTGTTATTATTATTTTCTTGTTTTCAGTGCACATAAGATAAAACCGTTTAACTTAAAAGTTTTTTACCGATTTTTCATTTTTAGACAAACTAATTTAGAGGGCGTCGTGAGAGAAATGATCAACTTTGTAAATACCGGACACCCTATTACGTATACATGATAAAAAATGAAACAGCGATCAGTAAAAACTAGTCTGACCAACGAGAAGATAGATGAGAGCCATTTTAATTTACAGACAAATTTTATTCTCTGTCATTTTTTTCACGTAATCTGTCGAAAACTTCCCTGACTCGTTGAACAGACTTTATGTACTATTAGATATCTATACTCCCCGGCAAAAAAAATCCGCCACCCTAAAAATTTGACTAAGTTAGATGTTTCATAACTTTTTATTTTGTAATCTGATTTTTATGATTTTGGTATCAGTGTGAAGAAACATTTATTGGCATTATTTTTTATTATTTTAATGGCTTATATTCTTCGGTTAAGTGGGTTTATACCGGGGTAAATCAAAACGTTGTTTTTTGCAATAAATTCAAAATACCCTTGGAAAAAATGAGTCGGGCATTTTGGATAAAAAAAAACTTTCCATAAAAATCGGATTACAGATTCAAAAGTTATGAAACATCAAACATAGTCAAAGCTTTAGGGTGGCGGAATTATATGCCGGGGAGTTTATTAATATTTCTAATCAAGAAATAAACTTACCCTTGCATTTATTGGTATTCTTGTCTAAAATAGCTTTGGTAGAAATAATTGTACCGTATCTGAAACAGAAATAAAACGTATAGTAACTAGTAACAGAAAGAAATAGCGAATAGCCAGCATAACATTAAAACTGTTTTCAAAAATCTGGAACCAGTCTAAAGGTACGCGCACACTGACCAGAGCCAGGGTCGGCATGATATATATCAATGATATATATCATTGATATATATCATGATATTTATTACCTTGATATATATCATGATATTTATAAAAAAATAAAACTCAACAATCAGAAAGAAAAAAGCAAAAAAGATAATATTGATTGGATCTGGGACAATTCAAATGTACCAAAAACTTTGCCAGAAACAGTATCAATTGATTCTGATTCTGACGAATCTGACGATAATTTACCATTAATAAAACTAATAAATCAAATATAAATTCGTTTGTTGTTAGTTTTAGAATATCTGTTTATTTTTTGAATTTCCGTTTATTTTTTAGAATTTCCGTTTATTTCTTAGAATTCCTGATAATTTTTTAGAATTTCCGTTTATTTTTTAGAATTTCTGTTTATTTTTTAGAATTTCTGTTTATTATTTATTGTTATTATTAAACACAAGCAGACTGTGCAGGCCAGTCTGCGCATTTTAACCTGTGTTACTGCCTGTCGCACACACACGCAATTTTATAGTACAGTTTTATCTATAATGAACTGAGTTACGGACTCACTTCGGCAAATTTTTTCTAAGTAAAAATGGCCTCCCGAAATACACATCTGTCTTGGATTTTATTCGCTTATGCAATAAGAAAAAAGCAGAAAAACAACGGTTACTTAAAAGAAATAAGTGTTGCCATGTTAATTTGCTTGCTGATTTAACAGTGGAAAAACAGGATTGGTTTAACTACCTAAGAATGAACGAGGAAACTTCCTTAGAACTACTGAAATTAACGTTTGGAATTGGGAATTGGGCTGGATGAGAAGCGAGTGTCTTAAAGTTGCTCAGTTTAGCAACTTTAAGACATCTTAGTTTTGATGCTATGTTTTGATGCTTAGTTTTGATGCTATGTATGTATATTTTGATGCAGATGTTCGTGGGTGCTCCGCACCCACTAATTTTCTTTCGTGGGTGCTTGAGCACCCGAGCACCCACGCAGTCGGCGCCCCTGATAATTATAACACACAAGTAACCACAAAACTACAACATAAAAAATCTATACACAAATAAACTAAAATTCAGATAATAAATAGCAAATAATAATTATTATTTTTACACACACCACTGACACTAGCAATAGATTGTGTTTGCCGCCGAATATATGCCCCAACCCGTTCAACGATCGATCCGAGCATATCTTTATCTTCGTCTCTTCAACGCTAACCACGCCGGTCTCGCCTGTATCTTTCTCACAGGATTGATTGTTGAACGGGCTGGGAATCCACGCGCTTGCGGCGTTACTAATTGACATCCTGATAGAAACTGCACACCTGTCACTTCTTTTGCGTGTTTTTAATGGATACAAATCGAAATAAAAGCTTCAAACGGTAAAATCGCAAAAGCGCTTCACACGCAAAAAAGCAAAAGACGCTTTCTGTGTGGCCGTGGGCTTAGGGAAGTGGCAAGTCAACGGTGATTAAATACAGCACAAAACAGGGGGACATGAAAAAGGATAGGAGAGACCGATGGGAGTGGATGAAGATAGAGGTCATAAAAAGAAACTACTAAAACAGAAGATACTTACTGTTGGCACATGTTAACGAGGTCCTTGTCGGTGGTGCCCGGGTTCAGCCCCCTGATGTACAGATTAGTCTTGCTGAGCTGCTCCGCGCCGGTACCGCCGCCCGGGTGGCTCTGGGCCGAGCCGTTGGACGAGGCCGAGTTGGCGGCGTTGGCCGCCCCCGTCTGCATGGCGCCCGCGCCGCCGCCCCCGCTCTGGCTGCCGCCCGTATGGCTGCTGGCGCTGCTCGCGTTCGAGGGCGAGGTGGCCGTAGGAACTCGCTGGTTGCCGTACTGAAAACAAACAATAAAGGTACCACCGTTAGCGATAAGTAAACTCTATTTCGTAAAACTTAGAAAATAAGTTATGCCGTTTCCAGACCAAGGTGACAAAAAATAAACACGATTTTGAGAGAAAAACAAGACAAACTTGTCACAAAAAAATGGAGACTTCTGACAAGACAAACTTGAGACAAATTGTCCACACCGCAACAACAAAAGTACAAAAAAGTCAAAAGTTTAGTTATTGCGAATGAGTTTTATTAACGATGTGTGATTTGACTGGTCTCCTACTGATGGCAGCACACGCCATACACACTGCGCCGACAACTTGTCGCAAAATATACGAACAAAACATAGACACTTTGATCTTTACCGACTCGAGACGGGGCATTGAAAAGTCTCCGAATTTTGAAACAAAACAAAAATGAGACAAAATATGTCGCAGAAATGTATTGGATTTGTCACAACTTTGTCGTAAAACATGAATGTTTCTGTTTTGTCTGCTTGGTCTGAACCCGGCATTATAGTACCGTATGATCGAAAAAAAATGGCGTCCAGTTGGCTGGGAAATGGCGATCGATAACATTTCCCATATAAATTTACATATAAAATGACAGCGATCTTCATTTCATAGCCATCGCTGACGCCGTTTTTTCTCGATCATACGGTATTATTTTTATTTGTCCATTATTAGCCTAGATGATCTAGGCTAGATCATATATACATACGTGAATAAATTAACGCCATAAGTCTAGCATTAAAAAATATGTCACCAACATCACGACATGCCATTTTCAAACCTCCTTTATTGCAATTATGAAACGTTCAATAGGTTTGTCTTTCTCGAGGACCTTACTTTGCGCATGCGCGTTAAAAGTTGCACGTATTTCCAAAATAATCACAATTTTATACGGTTTAGAAAGTACAAATTATACATTGTTATGGAAACCAACTTTTTATTGTCATAATCTTGTCGTAATCATATTAATAATGTAATAATTTTATAAATTATTAAATAAATTGTGATATAAACGTCATTGCAATGATAAATGCCACTTATCTGTGTTGTAACATCTAACACAGACAATTAAGTTTACAATGGGCGCGGTTCTAATAAAAAATATTGATAAATATAATAAAACTAAATATTTATCACAGAAATTCGCTTATCGATTATTAGTTTAATGTAAGTTTATTTAATATTAATCTACTAATACCTAATAATAGTCTAAAAATAAACGATACCAGCTTTGAGAAAAAATACTGTATACCTACATAGTAAGAGTTATATCCTGTGATTTTAAGCCTAACATTCCAGCGATGTTGGAAATCCCTAAACACTGTTATGTTAGGTAAATCCCTAAATTTTGGGGAATCCCCCGGTTCTTCCGCATCGCCAGACGGCGCAAAAGACCTTAAAATACAGGTTTCTTTATATATGAAGATGGCATGACAGTCTCTATGTTGATACCGTCCTAGGTCTAGTTTTGGGCTAGTTGACAAAATGTTGGTGATCCATCAAGTTCTTTTTAAACCATTATTAAAATAATTATCAATTCAGATATTCTTGATTTGTCGCAAAGTTCGGTGATTTCAGTGATTTGTGTTTATAGTTTGTGTTTTTATTAGTTTGTGCATTCTGATATTTACAGTCGAGCATCATTTTCGTGTTAGATAATAAACTTTTTTATTAAAGCCATTTTGACATTTTAGAAATGATAAATTTATAAACCAAATAAAAAAATAGTTTAATCGTAAATAAGTAAGTACATAGTTAGTAATTTATATAAAAATAGTATTGTTAAGGTATATGTGGCGCCATCCATCAGTTGGAGAAGCAAGAAACTAAAAGAAACCTGGCGAATTCACCAGAAAGTAAAAGAGATTTTTAGACGCCATCTCTTAATCAAGTCGACAAGTAAGCGAATCAGACAATAGAATTTAGTAGTGGATGGCAGAAAGTTATCGATAATTTTAGAACGTTCCAGAAACACTCACCACAGCTATATAAAAAGAGCGCGTTCGGCAGTTGGGACAGTTTGAAGTTTGAATATACCGCGTTTGGAAATTGTGAATCGGACAATTTGGTGAAGGAATCTTATAAATAGTTAGTTGTGTGTTTAATTAGTATAAATTGTGTGTAAATAGTAAATTTAGAAGGAAAATAAATTCGTTAAATATTTTATCGTGAGTTTAAATTAATGGACCCACGGAATCCGTAACAGAATTTTTAGTAACAGTTAACTAGTAGTCTATAATATTTTTGCTACATTATAATTTATTTGTTAAATCAAAAAAATAAGCGCTAGGTGCTCTAGTGTTGGTGTTTAAAATGTATGTATTCATAATTTTAATTTTGTTTTGACTACGTTACACTTCTAATGATCTAATAAAACATAAAATGTAGTAAAAAAGTATATAATTTATTATTTTATATTTTACAACGAATATTAAATTGAATAATTTTACGCTTGAATAACGTTACCGTTTTTATTAGCGTTAATAAGTTACGGAACGCTAAAATTATGTTATGCCAAAACTCTTCATTAGTTTCTACCGGACCATCAGGTGGCTCTATATGACGAACCCATTTATTTTATATGAGTGTCCAATCTATCTCTAGTAAATGACACATTAGTCTATGATAACAAGCAAACAATGAAAACGACATTATATTACCATAGAAACGCGTTTTGATTTTTAGTTTAGGATTTCAACTATATTTTCATGTTTTTTTTAATTTCTCTAAAACGGTATGGAAATTTGGAAAAGTATAAACGGTATTAACCATTCTAAAACAAGCAAACATTTTTATGAAGAATGCTTTTTTCTTAAAATGTCAATAGGTACTAAAAAAGTTTTTCAACTTGTAAAAGCAATCCGGGGACATACTGTATAATGCCTAGTATATCACTGATTAGTAGTGGATAAGTGGACATCAATTATTACAATTAAGCTACAGGCGTGTGTCACGTAAGTAATTAAGTAAAAAAATGCATTTTTCTGTGGCTGGGAATTTTTAAACTAGGTTTTCTGAATAATACACATATTGTGCAGAAAAAATAAGTAAAAAAGTTGGTATAAATGTATGTCCTAAAATGCTTAGTTTTAGAAATACAGGGTGTAGAAGTTTCATTTTTATTTCGATTTTTTCCAAATAATTTCTGAAGTAACGTCAATATTTGGATGAAAATTGGTGTCCTAGAGTTTTTTGACATGAGAAATTTGATTTTGATGTCAATAGGACCCCTACTGGTAGAGTACATGTGTTTTAACTGTTCTGAAGCGTAATAACTTTTTGTCTGTACCTGTATAAAACTATTGAGGGAAAAAATATACATCTCTGTGACGTTTTACGTAAAAAATATCTCTTTGTAAAAATCCCTACGAGCAACCGTTCTCAAGATATTTACAATGGAAATAGTCATTACATGTCATTATTGACGAAAAATAAACACGTTGAGTAGATAGTTATTTCATTGAAATAATAAATTTGGAACATTTTTATTTTTTTAAATTAATCATAAATTTTTCTGCAAAAAAATGATGATAAAACAGTTTTTGTTGAACTTTCGGCACAAAAACTTTCAAATTTTTGATCACAGTCTAATAACTATTTAGTCAAGTTTTAATTTATGTCAATGATGACAGGTATTGATAATTTCGATTCCAAATATCTCGAAAACCAATACTCGTAGCGATTTTTACCAAGAGACATTTTTTACGTAAAAAATGTATATTTTTTTACTCAGTAGTTTTATACAGGTACGGACGAAAAGTTATTACTGTTCAAACCAATTAAAAATATGTAGGTGGCGCCCAAGAACAGTTAACCTAATAGGACTGCTCATTCAGCCAAAAGTGTCCGCCAGGTGCATGCGAAAACTACTCGCTTTGTGACGTCATTGTAGCCCTTGTCATGGTTATTAGTCCTTATCCGGCAACCAATAATACACACACGTGCATTATTGGTTACCGAATGCAAAACGTTCATTATTTAGTTTATTTATTTAAACACCTTATATGTATGCAGTATAGAAAATTAACTGTATAAATCGTATTAAATACTCGGATAATGCATTTTTAAGAACAGCAGTTCCCAGCATCACCGTTTGCAAGCATTCTTTTTAGAGTACTTCCATATTTTGCTTTAAAATAATTAATAAACAAAATCGTGGGCACTTAGTATGCACTTTGTCACAATCCACAACACAAAATGAACGTATTTATACACTCTATAGCTCTAAAAACTTTAAAGACACCTTTTTCACAAGTTTACCACAGGCAACTAATAATACACACTATCATGACAAGGCCACGGAGGCTTTGACAAGGGCTACAATGACGTCACAACTGTCAGCTGAAGCGCGGGAAGAGGCGAACGTACGTCTTATGAGGATGAGCAATCCTATTAGTTTACCGTTCTTGGGTGGCGCCCTCTATTAGTAGGAGTCATATTGACATCAAAATCAAATTTCTCATGTTAAAAAACTCCCAGACAGAATTATTTGGAAAAAATCGAAATAAAAATGAAATTTCTACACGCTGTATATCCGAAACTAAGCATTTTAGGACATACGTTTATTCAAACTTTTTTACTTATTTTTATCTGCAGAATTTGCTGCCGAAGTCTCCGGAATACAGTTCGGACCACCTTGTATATAGGACAGAAGTTGAAAAATGCTGGTTGCAAAGAAAAAAATAGAAAGATTCCTGCTAAAAGTTATGAGAACTCAAAAAAAATAATATTCATTAAAAAACAACATACTTTTTACAAAAAAGAAACAAAAAGAATACTTGTGCAATATCATGAGTTAAGTACTTGAAATGAACGGTTAAATACGCAGACGTACACAGTACTCACCCTAACAATGAACGCCAAAAAAACTCAATGGGGAACTAAAAATAGACACACCGCACGGCAATGGATTGGGTAACGGTTCAATTCAAACAAAAGCGAAAATTATGATAAATGTAATTAGAAAGAAGCAGTACCTACGCGAGATAAGATAAGGCCGGAGCTGATAGTGTGATGCACGTTTATAGCCATTCCAAGAATACTCGATGCCGATATGCAATTTCCAAGTTACGATAAAAAAAAGTTGAGAAAACACGGTATTTTGCGTCAAAAGTTAAGCCCCGCCCGCACGTAACGTTTTAACTGTCAGGTAAGACGGATTAAAAACTAGTGTATACACTGGAAGTTTTTCCAGCTGTTTGATCAATTAGTATAGCATTGTGTTTAGTGAAGTTGAAAAGAAAAAAATTCAGCTCAATTACAAACAATTCATTATTTTTTTATTTTACAGTAATTTTTATTAAATTATAGTGTTATATTACAATTTATTAAATTACAGTAATTACAGTAATTTTACTAAATTATACGAATATTCTCGTTGATTATTGGTTAGGTTAACAAGTTGGATACACGATTTTTTTGGCACCCTGTATAATGTAAAATCTTATTTTTTACATACCTTATAATGCATCTTTCCACATAAAAATGTCGAAAAACCAGTTGAAAAGTAATAAAAAAATTTAAAACACGATTTAAAATATATTTTTTCCGTATTTGTCTAAATATACTGAACGCCCTGTAGAAGCTTTAAATACAGAGTCCAGATATACAGTTCCTTCGTAACCTTGTACAATAATATAACACTTTGTTGCAATAATAAAACTATTTTCACGTCATATAATAGGCTAGATATTCTAAAAATAGAACTGTTAACTGTTTTGCACGATTTCACATTAAAATTTTAACACTTTGTATAATGATTTTTTAACGCCACTTCCACTATACATACTAACAAATACATTATTTTTCGAAAACTCATAAAAATAATTATTATTGAAAGATCGAATATAATATACGTTTTATAGACAATGAATAGAACAAAGGTACATCTAAATGTGGAGAGAAAACTACCCAGATAGATAAAAAAGATAAAAGATATTGAAATAAAAATTAGTTTCTAGTAAAAGTAAAAAGTTTAATGTAACTATTGACTGATAACGATACAAATTTGTGACTATCAATGACGAAACTCTAATTTTGGGGGATGACTTGTACATAATATACACAAAAAATGCATACTATATACAGGGTGGTGCGAACTGTATTCCGGTAACTTCGGCAGCATATTCTGCAGATAAAAATAAGTAAAAAAGTTCGTATAAATGTACGTCCTAAAATGTTTTGTCGGAGATACAGGGTGAAGAAATTTCATTTTTATTTCGATTTTTTCCAAATAATTTATGAAGTAACGTCAATATTTGGATAAAAATTAGTATGAGGGAGTTTTTTGACATGAGAACTTTGATTTTGATGTCAATATGACTCTTCAAAACAGTTAAAACACATGTAGGTAGCGCCCTCTACAAATAGGAGTCATTCAAAATCAAATTTCTCACATCAAAAAAGTTCCAGACACTAATTTTCATCCAAATATTGACGTTACTCCAGAAATGATTTGGAAAAATCGAAATAAAAATGAAATTTCTACACCCTGTATCTCCAAAACTAAGTATTTTAGGACATATACATTTATATAAACTTTTTTACTTATTTTTATCTGCAGAATATGCTGGTAAGTTTCTGGAATACAGTTCGGACCACCCTGTATATTATTATGATTTATACAGGGTATCCCAAGAATAAGTGCAAGTATTTTAACTGGTAGTATAATTCAACCCCAGAAACAAGCCTATGGTTTTTTTTCGCGAAAATATTTTTGAAAATTCGGAATTTTTTGAAAAATTTTTTGGAAATGTTTTTAGTTTTTAGTTAAAGAATATAATTTCTTGATAATATAGGAACATAGGTTGTAGATTAAATTTACAAAAAAGAAAACCCAGAAAAGATCCAGTGGTTCTCAAAATTTTAGCAAAAAGTCATTTCTTTTGGAAATTTTCAAAGTAAAATAACTCCGTTATTTTGGACTTATTTGAAAAACGGTAAAGATAAAATATGTTTCTTTTATCGAGATCTACCACCCCTTAAAACACTTGCACTTATTTCTGGAACACCCTGTATATTAATTCATATTTCATATATTTTAGAAACTTGTCAAACTCTTGTCAAATTAAAGGATATTATTTGTGTCAAATTATGTAAAATAACCAACGCTCTGGAAAATAATAAACATTTGCGATATTGCTTTTGCATTTTGGTTTGTGATATTACGTGTGTTTTATGTTTTTTTTTAAGCTAAGTGACTTTAAGTTAGTTAACTACTTTGAAATTAAAATGACAGGCACGTCTATCACTGTCAAGGATTTTGTAGTTATTTGACAGACTATATTTTTGAATAAGAAGACTAAAAAAGGAGCATAATGCTATCCATATATTCATGCATGGTGGGCGGAAAAAGGACTCTAGGATGGGGATCCTTGACAGTTCTGTTTCACAATTCATTTGACACATTTGAATTTGATTTGAAATTTTGTGGATTTGTCAGTCTTTACGGAGCTTATTTTATGTTATTTATTATTTATTCTCCTACTGATAGTTGTATAAAGGTAGTAAATCTAGATGGAAATTGTGGCAGTACTTAAATTAACAGTGACACTATCGCGATTTATCGAAAAAGACTCAAAATAGTTTGTTGTGTAGCGTGCGGTAGATCTCGGCAAAAATCGAGTGAAATAATGGAACAACTTTTCGCTAGTAAGTGACTATATAATATAAATACTTGTAGTAAACCAATCATTTATGAAATTCACTTAAATTAACTAATTATATATTTTTTCTTGCATTTTCGCTTTTATTTACTACTTGTCAAAGATTAGATGTCAAAGAATTTAGATACGTCAATTTGACTTACCTGTTTCAGTAGCGTATCGGATGTTTGTGTTAATAAATAATTATTAAAACTTTTCTATTTTTATTATAATAATATGTTTTTATAACAATTTTAATAACTACCAACAGTTATTCACAACGTAAAATAAAAAATAAATATTGAGTCTACCCCAAGAACAGTTAACCTAATAGGACTGCTCATTCAGCCAAAAGTCTCCGCCAGGTGCATGCGAAAACTACTCGCTTTGCGACGTCATTGTAGTCCTTGTCATGGTTATTAGTCCTTATCTGGCAACCAATAATACACACACGTGCATTATTGGTTGCCGAATGCAAAACGTTCATTATATAGTTTATTTATTTAAACACCTTATATGTATGCAGTATAGAAAATTAACTGTATAAATCGTATTAAATACTCGGATAATGTATTTTTAAGAACAGCAGTTCCCAGCATCACCTTTTGCAAGCATTCTTTTTAGAGTACTTCCATATTTTGCTTTAAAATAATTAATAAACAAAATTGTGGGCACTTAGTAAGCACTTTGTCACGATCCACAACACAAAATGAACGTATTTATACACTCTATAGCTCTAAAAACTTTAAAGACACCTTTTTCACATTTAAAATTGACAAAATAATTAACTCAAAATTTCTCAGCTATTATTTTTATAAGTTTACCATAGGCAACTAATAATACACACTATCATGACAAGGCTTTGACAAGGACTACAATGACGTCACAACTGTCAGCTGAATCGCGGGAAGAGGCGAACGTACGTCTTATGAGAATGAGCAATCCTTTTAGTTTACCGTTCTTGAGTCTACCCCACGTCTACCCTACATCATAGTTTCACATGTTTTAAATAAAATTAGAACGGCACTGATAAACAGAAATTTAAGTCGGCCATATTTGAGTCCCATTGCGGTGGACCTAAGATATGGTGGACCAAACAATAAAATGGTTGTTTTTTTAAGTAATATTTTAAGTAAGTGACACAGGCGGAGTACCTACCGAATTAGCGTTGTTGTAGTTGGCCGCGGCCGCGCTACTGTACGAGATGGTCTGTTGCGTTTGCTGTTGGGGCTGAGCCTGAGGCGACTGCGTCTGCGCGGGCTGGTAGCGCTGGTAGTGCTGGTAGGTGGCGCCTACCGCCGCAGCGGCGGGGTGCTGGTGGCCGGCTCCCACGTTGTTCCAGCGGTAACCGCTAGGGGTCTGGTGCTGGGTGGCCATAGGTGCACCTAAAACCACAAGTTCTCTATTATAGGAAACTGAAGCTGCCAATAGTCAAAATAACATTGATACCTATATTTTTTTATATTAATCTGATTTTATTTAAAATATGTTACGGACAAAGATGTAAAATCGGCCTTTAACAGTAGTGGCCAGTTAGTATTAGCGTTGATTGAAAGAATTTAGAAGGTACGCAACCTAATGGGCGAATTCGTGACAAGGCTGATTTGAATCGTTCTGCGGCCAACGCATAAAACACTTATTTTCTCTAATTCAGCTAGCGAAGGCATATCGAAGACGTTGTGGCACTGAAAGCGACAAAGTTGCCATATTAAAATGTGCAATATCTGTAATACGTTTGAAGAAAATATATTAACATAGTTAAACATAGAATAAACAACAAAAATAAATATTCTTTTATAGGTACTGAATATGTCGTATAATTGAAAAAATTCGATTAGTTGGCTTGGAAATGACGACATTTGCCATAATATTTTACATATGAAATAACAGCAATCTTCATTTCCAAGCCACCTCTGACGCCATTTATTAAATTGTTTAATGATAAAAAATCCGTATTATTAACGTACTGTACCCAAAATCCGTAAATCTACGTAATATCCGTAATCCGTAGATCTGGCAACACTGTCTCCGGCAATCACTAACTGCCGACTGAAAGCAGAACTACGGTACAGTATTATTTATCCGCTGCGCAATAAACGACTATCTATCAGCGCGCAGCAGCGCAGAGCTAAACTTAATCTCGGACAGGCTGACGGTAACGCCAGCTACATCTCGGACATGTTTTGTGCCACTAAATCACCCATAAGGTTGCGCTTCTTCTTATTTTTTCAATTAACGATATTAGGTCTGTTCCAACATAGCAGAAAACCTTTGAACCTTTTTTTTTCTCTTTTTTTTTTCTTTAGAACCATTTTTTAAAAACTTTTGGCCTTCCAAATGCAGTGATGTATCACACTTGATCATAAAATGTTGTTGGTTTTTACACACACATAATCATAGTCTTTTATTTAAAATATATATCCAGGAGGCATTGAAAAACTGGAGAAGGAAGAGTAGAGCTATGGAAATAGAGATTGACAACCACTGTCTATCGACCTTGTTCTTTGCAGACGACCAAGTTATTGTTGCAGGTTGTGAGGAGGATGCCGATTATATGTTCAGGAAACTTGACGAAGAATACGATAGATGGAGACTCAATATCAACCTCACAAAAACCGAATACCTGAAAGTAGGAGAAGAACAAACTGAAGATCCTGAACTACACATACATGAAATTAAAAGGTGTAGCGAATATAAATTTTTAGGAAGTATTATATCTGAAGAAGGGAACTCCAAGAAAGATATACATAGCAGAGTTCAACAAGGTAAGAAAGTAATCTGTCTTTTAAACCCTCTCCTGTGATCAAATAAAACATCCATCCAAACAAAGCTAAGGATTTACAAAGCAATCGTAGAGCCAATTTTACCATACGGTGCCGAATGCTGGCAATTTACAGCAACAGAATGAAGGATGGTCGAGTCAGTGGAGATGGACTTTCTCAGAAGAGCATGTCGATTATCAAGGATGGAGCACATTAGAAATGAGATCAGGCAAAGAACAAGGCGAATATATACCAGCACCGACAACATCGAATCGAGACAGCTACTATGGTATGGGCACGTAAAAAGAATGCGAGGGGAAAGATGGCCAAAAAGAGCAATGGAGTATCGTCCACAAAGCAGAAGGAAAAGAGGAAGACCTACAACTACGTGGTTCGATGGAGTAGACCAGTACATGAGAGACAGAGCTATTAAACAGGAAGAATGGCAAAATCGAGCAATATGGAGGTCGAAATGCGGGATGCGGCAGAAGATGTAGGACCCCCGCTTTATGCAGTGTGTCCCAGAAATAAGTGCAAATATTTTAACTGGTAATATAGTTCAACCCCAGAAACACCCCTATGAGGTTTTTTCGCAAAAAAAAAATTTTTGAAAATTCGAAATTTTTGCAAAATTTTTTGGAATTTTTTTTAGTTTTTAATTAAAAAACATAATTTCTTGATAATATGGCAACATAGGTATTAGATTAAATTTACAAGAAAGAAAATCCAGAAAAGATCCACTGGTTCTCAAAATTTTAGCAAAAAATAATTTTTTTTGGAAATTTTCAAAGTAAAATAACTCCGTTATTTTGGACTTATTTGAAAAACGATAAAGAGAAAATATGTTTCTTTTATCGAGATCTATCACCCCTTAAAATATTTGCACTTATTTCTGGGACACCCTGTATATATAATCATAGTCTTTTAACAAAAAATATTTTTTTTTCAATTTTTTATTTTTTTTTATAAAGAAAATCCTTTTACTATCTTCAAATAGGAAATAGGAAAATTGTAAATTCGGTGAGCCGCTTAAGACGATTCTGGAAGATTTAATTTTTCAACCCCCTGTATATAAAAAAGTAAGTGTAAAGTATATATAGTATTTTTGAAATTATCTAAAAATTGTCTACCGGATGATGCTAAATGCTAAAAATATGTGCGGGTGTCCATTTAAAGAAAGTACAAAATGGCGTAGTATCTGTCAAATTTGACGTTTTAATCGGCATCCTTGCGTAAAATTACATTGAAAAATCCTTTTACCATCTTCAAATAGGAAATTGAGCGAGTCGCTCAAAATGATGTACCCTAACGATTCCTATTATACCGTATGATAAAAAAAAAGCGTCAAAGACGGCTGAGATATGATAATTGATGCATAAAATATATTATGCTCTCGATTATGCTATAGTAATCTAGTTAGGGAAAATATGGAATTTTATGTTAGTATCACAAATTATATTTGACGGTAAGCTTCATAAAAATAATAAATAATAATTTTTAAATTAATTAAGTTTGTCTAACGGACAAACGGAGCACTTCTGTATAAAGGTAAATTATGTGCAATTAACTTATTTTGATCTAAAAAATACGTAGTTGTTCCATGTCCACGAAGTATTGGAACTCTGTATATTTTGTAGGTCTGTTTTGGAAAAATAAATTCTTCAATGTGGCGTTCTTTTACAAGAGACAAAAAATGTAATAAATACTAGCAGGACCATTTTACGAAAAGAAAATCTGTTGTCGATGGAGTTAGAAAAAATTTATACTAAAATTTATGTAGAGGTGGGAGTATCTTCCACCCTTCCCGTACTTTTTCTTGAATTTTGCGAAAGTCAAATGTTGGAGCACTTAGCAAAACATAGACACCCAAAATCTCATTCAAATCGGAATAACGGTTCTTAAAATATCTGAAAAAATGTGATTATTTTTTTAAAGTTTGATGCCCTCTAGTGGACAAACGAAGCACTTATGTATAGAGGTAAATTGTGCCCAATGAACTCATTTTGATTCCAAAAACACGTAGTAGTTCTATGTCCACGGCATTTTGGGACACCCTGTATTCCTGCATATTAAAGGAGAAAGATTCTACATAAATTTCTGCTATACAGGGTGTTTCAAAAAACATGTGCCATCTCTCGTGGGAATTGTATTAATAAATGTATTAATATTGTGATTAATAAAATTGTGTTTATCTTATCAAGGAGGCCGAATTCCACAAAATATCAAGAGATAACTTTTAATTGGCATAAAACGGCCTACACAATTTTGATATCAAAAGAAAAAGTCAGTGGCGCACATGTTTTTTTTTGAAAAATATTCCAGTGATAACCCATATGCACGTCCCTGATGAATTTATTGACACTTATTTAGCCGTAAAGTATGTAGAACTTGTAGTAACTTTTACCCTCAAAATTTCATTCGAATCACTAAACTACTTGGGAGAAAATTATAATAAATTGAAAAATTATTAAGATTTTAACACCCTGTAGCTACGAAACAAAGCAGAATCGGACCTATATTGATATGAAAAATAAATTTTATTTTTACGTGAGATGGCTCATGTTTCTTGAAATACCCTGTATATGTATATTAGGTATACACTTATTTTTTTCCAATCAATAATCCTCTGAATGGGTAAGCAGGTAAACGATCAGCTGATAGTTCTGTATAATTACAGAATACAGGGCTAATATACACATATAGATATTATAAATACACACATAATAAAAAAAGTAATACTATGGAAATACTCTTACTAGAAAATAATCCTGAAAACACAAAAATGCACTATTTCCTTTAACTAAACTCTTTCTTGAGTAATGACTTAACTACTAAGCAAATGACTTTATGATGACAACTGAAACTCTTCTAACCAGACGGGCACTTACTTTGTTTACGTCGATTTCTGAAATTCCTAGTAAATATTAAACTTTTACTCTCTATCTCTTTTCCGCTCATTATCTGGCCTGCCCTTAACCCTTAGTAGATTGTTGTTCGGTCCTTATCTTTCGTCACCGGCCGTGTACAGAGGAGCGTTTGCCAGGCGCAGGTAGTAAATTTAAATTTTTCTTTATATCGGACAGGGCAACGACAATCGATAATAATAAAAATGTTGTTCGGGCTGACGTAAACAATGTTTTGTTTTCTTAATGTATTAATTTATCTAGTGCTGTAAATATCAGGATGATTTCACTATCCCGGTTCCAAAAAATCCTATATGGTTATTTCGCCACTGCAAAAATGTTCGAATTAAAGAACATAAAGATTATTTAAGAAAGGGAGATTTTTCAGCATTCATGGGACACAGGGTACAGAATAAATTTTAATAACGCCAAAATTATAATGAAAGAAGCGATAGCCTCTAAAAGAAAAATAAAAGAGGCTTTTTTAATACAATCTAATAAAAATAAATGTATTGCTCATGCATCTGTAGATGTTAGTAATGTATGGCAATCGCTTTGATTTTAAAGAACATAACATAAATAAACATAACATACGTAAAAATTAAAAATAATCATACAGAAAGTTTGGGGCTTTTTGGTTTTACCTTATTAAGTAATTGTTATCAGATAGTGATTGTTAATTTGAAGTTTAACTTGATATAATGTCATTTTAACAGAACGTCAACGGTTTTTGTAGACGTATCTGTTTTAAAAAACTAAAGCGTTCTGGAATAGTTGAATTTAAGTATTTTAAATAGTTTTTTCGTGAAGAGAAGAGAAGGGAAGAGAAGGGAAGAGAAGGGAAGAGAAGGGAAGAGAAGGGAAGAGAAGGGAAGAGAAGGGAAGAGAAGGGAAGAGAAGGGAAGAGAAGGGAAGAGAAGGGAAGAGAAGGGAAGGGAAGGGAAGAGAAGGGAAGAGAAGGAAGAGAAGGGGAAGAGAAGGGAAGAGAAGGGAAGAGAAGGGAAGAGAAGGGAAGAGAAGGAAGAGAAGGGAAGAGAAGGGAAGAGAAGGAAGAGAAGGGAAGGAAGGAAGGGAAGGGAAGGAAGGGAAGGGAAGGGAAAGGAAAGGAAGGGAAGGGAAGGGAAGGGAAGGAAGGGAAGGGAAGGAAGGGAAGGGAAGGAAGGAAGGGAAGGGAAGGGAGGGGAAGGGAAGGGAAGGGAAGGAAGGAAGGGAAGGGAAGGAAGGGAAGGGAAGGGAAGGAAGGAAGGGAAGGAAGGGAAGGAAGGAAGGAAGGGAAGGAAGGGAAGGGAAGGGAAGGGAAGGGAAGGGAAGGGAAGGGAAGGGAAGGGAAGGGAAGGGAAGGGAAGGGAAGGGAAGGGAAGGGAAGGAAGGAAGGGAAGGGAAGGGAAGGGAAGGGAAGGGAAGGGAAGAGAAGAGAAGAGAAGAGAAGAGAAGAGAAGAGAAGAGAAGAGAAGAGAAGAGAAGAGAAGAGAAGAGAAGAGAAGAGAAGAGAAGAGAAGAGAAGAGAAGAGAAGAGAAGAGAAGAGAAGAGAAGAGAAGAGAAGAGAAGAGGATAATATTAATTTATTTTAATTAGGATATACTATAGTAAGGGGTAATAGGTTGCATTTTACCTCAAACTATGCATAACCACATAAAATAAACTATGGTTATGCATTCGTTTTCCATCATACCTTAATGCCTATTGGTACTTTAAAAAGTGGATATAGTATATAGACTGGTTGTGCATTAATGGGACAATATGGAAATTTGCATCTTGTATTTCTGATCTAAAGTAGATCGTTATCGCTGCGCACTCGTTGAAAATTGTCTGTTACTGACCTATGGCGCACCCTTTGACTGGGGCTCCTCCTCCGCTGCCGAACTGGTGTTGCGCCCCTGCGGGAGGCTGCGCGTTGTGTGGCTGATGGGCGTTTTGGTGGTGGTGCCTGGTACCGCTGTTCAGAGCGGCGTTACCGTTGTGATTCTGTAACAAAACAATACAGATTAATACTACAGAATAAGTAACAAAGTGTATAGGGATAGTAGCGATATTTAAGAGACCAGAACAACGAAAAAACATGTAAAAAAGATCAATGTTAAATGGTTTAGAAAATGTGAACGCCTCATATGGCTTATTGTTAAGGGCTTCCATAAATCAAGTATTAGCTGGCAATAGTTTTGGAGAAACGTTTTTTTATTATTTTTATTTAATAGTGCACATAATGCAAGGCATAGGAGGGAAAGGTAAGTAAATAAAAATATGATATTATTTTCTAAATTACTATCTATGAAAAAAAAATTGCTTAGTTTATGAAAAAAAAATCATATAAGAGAAGAAAAGAAAAAAAAAAGGAAAGAAAGTAAGAAAGACCGTCAATCGCATACCATTGACATAACTTTTTGGTAAATTTTAGACATTTGGACGAGGTTTCAAAAAATATTTCACTTGTGACTCTTTTTTACCCTCTCATCCTTTATTTTTTATTTTGAAAGTTGGCAAGCCAGACTAAGGCCACGCAAAACCAAGATCAGTTTCGCTCATCGCTAAGAGTGACAACAGTTACCGCTAATGCAAGGCGGCGGAAATTACGTATCACTTTATATTTTTTATCACCTTGTATTTTTTATATATTTAAAAAGCCTTCCGTAAAAGATCTAACCAGGTCGAAGTGTCGCGAGGCCAACAGCCTAACCGACTCAATTTTATTCGTATTGGTACAGGTGCAAATCAACACCATTACTAATTATGCGAAATCCCAAATCGCGACGGATGTCTAGGTATCCGTTTTTTTACCTCGCCCGTCGCCGATCGTAGAAAGTGGAGCAAGATCTCGGTCTCTCTCTCGCTTGGTTCGTCGTAGTTGTTGCTGAATCGCGTCGCGCCGCCACAGACGAACGGTGACCTTGGAAGGTCGACGGCCGTTAAGTAGGCACCGGCCGCCGCCGCCAACGTCAGCGGTATTCGCATGCGCCGCCAAACGCGGATGTGAACCCGCCATTAGTTTCGGTCGTCGTTCCGGTCCTTTGAATGCACCTCATCGATCGACCGCCTAATGAGAAATTATTATTTACTCGGACTGAAAAATGACATACACATAAACATAGGCTAATAATAAGTATAAAGATGAGAAGTCATTCTTAAATCCGCATTTGTGTACAAGTTAACTTATACAGGGTGCTATAAATTCGAGGTACGAGCATTGGTATCTCGGAAACCGTAATAGATACGAAGATGGTTAAATTGGGGCAAAGTTGCTTCTTGGCATGTAAAAATTTCAAGCATTATTGCTAAGTTTTTTGGAAAAACTGTTTTTTTTTGAAAATCAATTTTATTTTTTCCTGTCGTTATTTTTTAGAAAATCAAAAAACTAATTGCACATTCTCATAGCCACTTTATTAGGGCTATCTGATGGTATTTTTAGATTTTCAAATTAGCTGATAGTTTCTGAGATACAGAGACCAACTTAATTTTTTTAAATACGGATCTGCATTTTTTATTTCAGGTTTTGAAAGAACTGGGTCTCCTGAGTACAATGATATGCTACACTTGATACTTTTTTTTTGTTTTGGGTACTTTAACAATAACAAATCTATTTAATTGTTATTTAAAATAATTTCAAGTCCGACTCTGGCTTTTTAATTTATTTAATCTGATTCTATTCATCGCAACATTGATCAGCCCTAATTAACACTGAATAAGGAAAATCAACCCAATTGAAAGATTCAAATAATTAATATCCAGGTCAGCAATTTAAAGATATTATTTTTAACTTTTTTTATTGTGAATTTGAAATCTCAGTGTACGATTTTATAAAATGCATAATATTAATCGTAATTATTATAAATAAATCAACTTCTACAAACTAGTTTCTTATGCTTTACATGTCCGAAAGGGTTACCACCCTCCATAATGCACAAATTTATTTTTAATTCAATCTTATTTATAGGTCTTTGAACAGATCTTCTTCTTATACTTCCGAATGCATTTTGTAATAATGCTTTGTCTTTTATTGCTCGTTAATTGTTTTTGTACTCTTAATGTTAAAATGTATTGATTTCATTTTTCCAGGAACATTTCCAGGAACCTCGCTGGCCATTATACTGCTCTACCATTTCCAATCCATCTTCCGGGGAAATGATTTGATTGTTTATATTATATTATATTTATATTATTTATTATATATTATCTTTTTTTTATTACTTGTTTAGTAGTATTACTTTTTACTTTAATATTTAACGATGAATAGATTAAATCTTAAAAAAAACAGAGCCGGAATTGAAATTAGTTTAAATAAATTGTGTTCAAATGTCCAAAACAAAAAAAAAAGTATTTGTAAAAGTATTATTGTACTCAGGAGACCGAGTCAAAACCCAAAATAAAAAATGCAGGTCCGTAATTAAAAAAATTAAGTTCGCCTCTGTATCTCACAAATTATCAGCAAATTTGAAAATGTAAAAATACCATCAGATAGCCCTAATAAAGTGGCTATGAGAATGTGCAATTAGTTTTTTGATTTTCTAAAAAATAACGACAGGAAAAAATTAAATTGATTTTCCAAAAAATCGTTTTTTTTTTCAAAAAACTCAGCAATCCTTGAAATTTTTCAAACTTTTTTGATAACATCTTGGTGGATATCCTAAAGCGCAACTTTGCCCCAATGTAACCATGTTCGTATCAATTACGGTTACCGAGATACCAATGCTCGTACCTCGAATTTCTCGCACCCTGTATAGTTTATCGCCAAACTAGCGACACGGCATATATTGTAAGCACTTTGCGGCATTTGTAGCTGACTACTAACATAGTTTCAGTTAGTACGTACAGATATCATCTGTAATTTCATAATAAAAGAGGGCTTCGATAATATAAGCAAGTTCCATATTACCACCCTTTCCTCTAGTATTGAGCAACAAGAGACAACAATTGTAAGAGAGAAACGTTTGCTCAAAAGTTAAATACCATGCCATAACGTGGTATATTGATGCTTTCAAAATCAAAGCTAGAGAAGGCATAGGAGAATATTTGGGTCGAAAACTAAATACTCCGAACCAATGGGCACCTACCCTAGCATCCTTCAGGCGGAAATCTACGCTATCGAAAGATGCATGCAACTTATTTTAGATAGGAAGTATCGGAGACACGAAATAGCCATCTTATCCGATAGTCAAGCAGCCTTAAGAACGATCAACTCAGTAACCATCAATTCGAAGTTGATCAAAGAATTCCTAAAGAAGTTGAACAAATTAGGCAAAGAAATTAAAGTCCTTCTATTCTGAGTGCAAGCCTACCAAGGGATAGAAAGCAATGAAAAACAAATGATCTAGCTAGAAAAGGAGCGAACACACTATCAACTGGACCAGAACTGTTCTGCTTCCCAAGTGGAAACCAACTTAAACCAGAACTCAAGAACCTGGAAGGCTCCATCCGTAACCTGGAATGGGAATCCTACAACCGGTCTAAGACACTGGAAGAAATTTCTCAGAACTTACGAGCGAGAAAGATCAAAGATTTTCCTTGATTTAAGTAAGAACAATCTTCGGATTGTCCCGGGGTTTTTAACAAGACACTGTGTCCTTAGTGAACACCTCAGTAGATTGAAGCTAATAAACAACGGCGAATGCAGATTCTATGAGGAGGAAATGGGGAAACACCAGAACACCTCATCACGGAGTAATAAACGTTATTATGACAGTCGCTTTATTATTTTGATTATCCTCTAACAAATCTCATGTTTTTGAACTACTTTTGTTTCTATAACCTATAAATATATACAAAAAATCTTTAATTTGGAACCATCGACATTTTCGATTAAGGAAAACAATAACATCGGTACCTTACTTTCGAAATACCCAATTTAAAATTTCTAATTTCGGCTACATCCGGCTCGCAGAAAGAGCGCTAATCAAAAGTGCATAGTCGCTCTTTTTTTGGCCGTTCTATGGCGAAATTATTAGTGGGTCGCTTCGAGCCGGAACGCTTACTTTTTCCTAGAACGCCTTTCTCCGGCGTCGCAACCGGAACTCGCCGCTCATCTACTACGCCAGATTCCGATCGCAACAAAACCTGTTTTTGAAATTTCGCCGATGCAAGTGCTACATCTAAACTTTTTCTTTCTATGTCACGCCGAACAAGTATATAGGGAAAAAAACGAAGTAAAGAAAAGTATTTAAGTTGACGTCTCCTAAGTTAATGACTTAAGGAATATGACTTCTTCGTCTGGCACAGTCTTTAATTCACCTGAAGATTTAAACACTTACTTTGTTAATGTGGCTAAAAATTTAGTGAACACCGTAACTCCTTCTCATGATTCACTTTCATATCTCCCTAAAGCAAATGAGAAGTTACACTACAGTTTCTTCTTCACGCCCGTATTAAAAACAAATCCTCATCTGGGACTGATGGACTCCTAAAATGTTCTTTGAACTTCCGGAAGGCACATTAATCCATCTTAATAGCTTAATTAACGAGTCATTCCAAAAAGGAGTTTTTCCAAACTGCCTTAAGACAGCAATAATTATTTCTCTGCATAAAGGAGGAGATAAAGATCAAGCTTCGAACTATTGTCCAATTGCACTCCTGCCCACATTATCTAAGATCATTGAAAAATTGGTTAAAAAAAGGCTTCTATCTTTTCTCCTTAAGAGTCTATTACGCTGTATTTGTCGGGTTGCTCTCAGGGGTCGGCTAAAGCGGCTGTGTGGCCGAAGGAAATATATATTATATTTCAGAAATTAGCCCGATCTGTATAGAAGGCAATGAAAAAGCAAACAATCTAGCTAGAAAAGAAGCAAATACTCTACTAACTGGACTAGAACCGTTCTGCTTCCCAAGTGAAAACCAACAAAACAGAACTCAAGAACCTGGAACATTCTCTGTCATCCGTAATCTGGAATGAGGATCCTACAACGGTCTAAGACACTCGAAGAAATTTCTCAGAACTTACTGAGAAAAATCAAAGATTTTTCTTGATTTAAGTAAGAACA